TTTTAGACTTGGGGTATACAAAGAGAAAAAACCTTAACAAGCTAATCAAGAGGACAAACAAGACAGACACTCAATCAGGCGAAACAGATGTACAATAAGCCTGTTAATGGTACTATAAGACTTGGAACTTTGTGCTATCTGCTGAAGATGTGATGTGACGTAGTGCTAACGGTTAAGGCCTGAATGCTGTAATATTGGTTCGTCTTAACACAACTCAAGTTGAATAGTTTGACCACACATCACCACTACCATCTGGCAGACCAGGCATACAGCAATATCACTCAGATAAAAGTGGGCGGAAAGGAAGGGGGGGGGGGCACAAAAGCACAAAATTAACAAATGGCAGATATCAAGCAATGAGCTCCAATAAATAAAGCAAAAAGCCTCGTTAAAAAAAAAGCAACCAACGCCACAAATATAAAACCAATGTATATTTTAAGGTTTTAAGGGAGAACAGCAAGTGTCCTTCCAAGGGGAACAGCAAGCACTCATACAGGCAGAACAGAAAGTACCCTTACGAGGACAGAAAGTGCCCATACAGGGAGAAATACAACCGTACATACACAGAGAACAGCAACTGTTATTACAGTGCCCTTACGAGAACAGAAAGTGCCCTTACAAGAACAGAAAGTGTCCTTACGAGAACAGAAAGCACCCTTACAAGAACAGAAAGTGCCCTTACGAGAACAGAAAGTGCCCTTATGAGAACAGAAAGTGCCCTTGCGGGGAGAACAGCAAGTGCCCATACAGGGAGAAATACAACCTGTACATACACAGAGAACAGCAACTGTTATTACAGTGCCCTTACTAGGAGAAGAGCAAGTGCCTTACATAAACATAACATAACCCTTGACCCACTAGGGTCGTGGAGGTGTATTGATGGAAGCGGTGGGAAAATTTGTATATTTCGTCTCTGACATATTTATCAGTTTTATGTTCTAAATAACAAATTCGTAAAATGCGTCTGTAGCATTTACATTAGAAAGCCTGAATCTTCCTTTACTTGTGCCCATTACCCATCATACATTTCAGTGGGCAAATGGTGTGCTTGGTGGCGCCCATCTCCTCTCCAAGTATCCGAATCTGTTTCTAATTGTTTATATTCTCCTCGTGCTAACCGAGCCTTTTCTTATAAATGTCCTTCAAGGGTATGTTGTGTTTACACCCTGCAGCCACGCACAATAAGAGAACACACTTAAGTAGGTCACCACACTTAGTCACCATTGTTCCTTGATATAACGAAATTCTACGCGATCAGCCCTGTCACCCCGTAAATTCAAACACTCTAGTCCACAAATGAATATTTATTGGCGACTAAGCGCCTCCGAAAAGTACAACAACCAAGAAAGGTATCATATCTCCTTACAAACTTTGTGATATTTTATCAAATTTCTTGTCGAGTCGAAGCAGAGAAGAAAAACATAGTCGCCATCTTAGTTGGGATGGAAAAACAATCCCTGCAACAGATAGTGCACTTACAGAGAGATCAGCTAGCACCCTTAAGGGGAGAACAGCCAGTGCCCATACAGGAAGAAATACAGCTGTATCGACACACAGAATAGCAACCGTTATTACAGTGCCCTTACAGGGAGTATAGCAACTGTAATTTCATGGAAAACAACGAGTTTCCTTACAGGGAGAACAACAAGTTCCTTACAAGGAGAACAGCAAGTGCCCTTACAGGGAGTACCGCAACTGTAATTACAGGGAGAACAGCCAGTGGCTATACAGGGAGAAATACACAGAGAAGAGCAACTGTTATTAGCAAGCGCCCCTAGAATATGTATTAGCCGAGCAAGCAAACTGAATATTTACAGAAACAGCATAGCGAGAACACAAAGTGTTTGCATACAAAGAGAAAGCATAATTTATACTCAAGACAAAACACAATATGCCCTCAGAGGAAGAATACAATCTGGGCTAAGAGACATAATGTGTATGCGTTACTTTTCTGTATGTAGAAATACAAAAACAATTGTCTACATAAACTTACACTTTTTTCTTCTCCGCTTCCGCAAATATTTATACAGCACAAATAGAAGAATGGCTACCACTATAAGGAAAATGGCAGCAGGTATTGTGGATGCAAACACTGTCATATAGGGAAACTCTGGAAATAAGCAAGAAACACATTCATCAGCAGCTATATAAAATATGTTTTCAAGTGAACCCAGCTTTCAAAATTGGTTCTAGAAAATCCTGTGGGAAGTAAAGGGGCTAGAGTAAAAATGACCACATTACTCACAGAACACCATTTGATCAATACAAATATAGGAGTTGCACAGCTGGATATGTCTTGGTCTTCTTCATTTCATATTTGACTGATTCAGATTTTAGGGTTCGGTGCTTTCTTAAAATCCTACCACAAACAAGGAAAATCCACAGGTCATGAGACAGTCTAATATTTCAGAGGGTGGTAGATAGGCTGCATGCAGTCGTGGGACCTAGAATGCATCCAGTTGTGGTACCTAGGCTGCACTCTCTCATGGGACATAGGTGGGTTGGAGTTAGGATCAGTTCTACATGTTCTGGGGTCGTTAAAAGCATCAGAAAGCTGGGAAACCTAGGCTTACCACCCTCTAAAATGTTTGGACTGTCCTGTGACGTCATCTGGGGTAGGATATTAGGAAAGAACCTGTGGTTCTGCTTCTTCTTGTTCTAGCTGCCACTACCATGGATGCAACCATTTGACAGATCTAGCTAACTTGTGTGCAGCTTTGGTTCCTTGTCTCTCAAATAGATGTGCTCCGACTATGAAGGAAGCTTCAATCCTACCTATGTGGCCCAGGCTCCCAGGTGGAAACCTGCTTCGAAAATGACTGTGAAGACGTGTAGACAGGTCTTGATCAGGCTGGTCCTAGTGCTCCACAACATATGCTTTAGCAGCTCTGCACTCCTCTTTTCCAGTAAATTCCCAGACATTATGAAAATTATTCGGCACCCATTTTTTAAGGGAAAAAAAAAGGATGAGTCGAGATACTCCAGCCAAACTAACTGGGATTTGGGTGGGTGAGGGGGAGGTGGTTAAAAAAAAACCCACATAAAATTAAGCCTTGGTGAGTAAACCTTGACGGGCAAATGCAATCACCTCCCTATGTGGGTACCAGGTGCTCACTTCGGGGGTCCACCCCCCCCCCCACACACACACACACACACACACACACAGGTGAACACAGATATTCTAGTCTAGCTGAAAACCACAACACAATGTGTCAATCGCCCTTTTAAGGATGACTATGAAGGAAGCATCTACCTAAGTGGCCCAGGCTCCCAGGTGGAAACCTGCTTTCGAAAATGACTGTGAAGACGTGTAGACAACTTGATCAGGCTGGTCCTATGCACAGCTCTGTCACTCCTTCCAGTAAATTCCCAGACATTATGAAAATTATTCGGCACCCATTTTTTAAGGGAAAAAAAAAGGATGAGTTTTACTCCAGCCAAACTAAGAGAAAGCAGACAGAATATGTATTTCTTATCGTAAAATGCACTAACCACCAGTTTCTAAATATAAATCTGACATATATAACTACTTTAAGAGAAAATGTGTTTCTACAGAAATATGTATTTCTTATGTAGCCAATTTCAAATGTGATTAAGAATATTCTACCTAAACTGTGGGGGGGAAGCTTTTCTGACAAGGATCCTCTGAATATTTATAACATTATTTACAGGACATACAAAATTAGCATCTTTGAAAATAACCCTGCTATATATGATTTCCTTTGTCAGGGTCAGACCTAATGATTCTTATTCTTCTGCTCTGTAACCCCGACAGAGCATAAGCCTTCGACTTACTCCTTACAAGTCTGGTTTTTTTTTTTTGACTATCGTGTGCAGCTTACCCAAAGTCATCTTTTCAAATCACCCTCTAATTTTCTTCTACGTATGACTTCCCTCTACCTTTACACTTTTGACCCTGTGGGTTCCAAAATATAATGACTTTCCAAAGCCTTATATGGTTCATGGGTCGGATATTTCCCACCCCAGATTTAAAGTACAACCTACTTTTTGAGGTGTTTACTGCAGATGTTTTTAAATCAGATGCTGGGCTTGTCTGAAGCTCTGAAGATGAACTGCCTGGGAAATAAGCACATGATTTTAGAAAGAGAATGAATAAAGTTAAGGCATATAACAAATACAAAAAAACTAGGGCTGTACCGAATATTCGCTTCGTATTCGCTTCAGGGCCGAATAGTGGACCTAAAAACTAGAGGTTTATAGGCATTGATTATGTTTTCAAATAAGTAAAGGATGCATCATCATCATCATCCTACTGTGCCGCTGGATGTCCAACAGGGCTCGCAGTTTATTGTTCCATTCCGTTCTACCCTGTGCAGATGTTCAGTATCATGGATGCAATCCAGGTCAGCACCTTTGGCTTCTCTCACCAATGTTATTCTTAGGGATTTTTGGGGATTCTCAATCCAGAAAATTGGATAAAGGATGCATAGATAATCATTATTTCCAACTGTATCATGCTTGGAGAGTCACTGGTGTGTCTGACCAAAACTTATTTTTCTTATATTCCATGACAATTAGCGTTGGTCTCCATATTTGTCCACTCTATCTCCTGTACTGACAGCACATGTGATTTGTGTACACACATATAGAATTCTCTTACCGGCACTATACAGTTTATACATCGTGAGGACATCTCCTTGAGAGATATACAAGAGGAGACTGAAACCCTTATGGCGATGTCTCTGTGCAGTGAAAGTAAACTGGCAAAACTGCCACTACTGCCTGCATTAACTACTCTTCTCCGCGTAGGTGGGGTCTGAGGATTTAGGGCTGCTTGGCTAGCTCTGTCGCCATGGACTGTGCAGGTCAGGATTTTATTTTTGCTCCAGACAGAAACAAAATCCACAAACTTACTGAGGATTCAAATCCAGGTCTCTCGCATGGATAGGGCATAGGCCCAGCATTCTTAACCATTCAGCCAGCCGATCCTCATTCAATAAAAGTGATCCTCAAAAAAGTAAAAACCAAATCAAACTTACTGTTAGTAGCTGCGAACAAAACAGTAACTCTTGTAGTTTCCACACTGCTGACTGTATCAATATTATATTTTTCACGGGAATTGCCTGTGGGAAAATTAGAAAACAAAATATAAACTTACATCTACTTATCTACATCTCTTTGTGTGGTTGTTGGCACATCAGGCATTCATAACTGAACTTCACTGCTTTGGGTCTTCAACTTTTCTGCTCATGGTAGTCCACATCAGTTTATATATCTTAATTTTCATGTCTATTATACTTTTCCATGTTTCTTTAGATCATCAGCGTCTCCTTTATCCACCTGTCATCCACTAAGGAGATGTCCTTGTCAAAGTGTTGTGAAGCATTCTGCAAACATATCCAAGTTCCTAATTTTTTTTTCTTATGTGGCTAAAATATTGGTAAAAAATATTTAGATATTTATTTTGAAAAATCTCTAGTTTATGTGAAACTGCCATTTTCAAACACTCACTTCTGTACAAACGTTTTCCCAAAATTAATTCATTTAAACACAAGTAAATATAATTTGACGATACAGGTTAATGTCAGGCAGTGTCAGAAAAAATAAAAACAATGTTGGTTTTAATGCCTAATGTCATATATGTATGACATTTATAAATAGGAAAAGTCGGCTGTATAATCTTCATAACATGCTGCAAATCAGCCTCATAGTTTGTTGACGTAAATAGGCGGTGACTGCAGTCGAGCTGATCACGCTATTGATGAAGACTTTGGTCAAAACGTTCAGTTGTATTTGTGCACATCTTTTCCAATCCCTCCATTGAGTTTACTTTTCATACTTTATGTTATTTAATACTTATCCTTTGCTGGCTGTTTATGGTTTTACGATGCAATTTTACATTTAGCAGTTTGTCCCTGCTTACTAATGGTCAACACTCATACCAATTTTTAAATCGACACAAAGTGATCTGCTGCCAAATCGTCTGCAACTGAATCAAACCTGGGGCGGTAGAATTTAAAACTGTATTAAATATTTCTAAGCAGAAACTCTCTGCACTCCCAGTTTAACGTGTTTATAACTCTACACAAATCTGACTGTTCCGCTGGCACTCTGACCCATTCCCTTTCTTGTCTAATGTTCTCCAGAATTCAAACCTGCCTGACTGTGTTTTCTGCCAGAGCCATCCACGACTTATCTCTTATTAGCCGCTGACCCTTAACTGAGTCCAGAGCTTCGTGCAAAGGGTTAACCGTGTCTGCAGCTACTCTGAGATATGACTATATCCTGCACACACCATCGGGGTGTCTCTGGTACAACCCAGAATGACTTGCATTGCTGTGTTCTGTATGTGCTCTAGTTCAACCATCTGACTCTCTGAGACAGTAAGCAGTATTACAACAAGCAAGTATGTTTATATAATATACTCTGTGGTTTGTCAGAGACAATTAAGAAAGTTTAGTGTGAGAATGACCACCTCTTTCAGTAGAAATCTTTCAACAATTTTGACTGTACAGTGACATTAACTGTAAAACAAAACTGACCACCCACTCACCCCCCCCCCCCCCAAAAAAAAACATGCCATTACTGCCTGAGTTAACCACTTCTGCAGTGTCGGCAGAGAGGTCTTTGAGCCTCATGGCTAGTGCTGTCACCACGTCTGCAGATTCGGATTGTTGTTTTTTTTTTTTGCCCCCGACAGAAAAACTACAACCTTACCAAAGGATTTGAACTCAGATTTCCCGTTTGAGAGCCCAGCATTTTAACCACATGACCAGTGGCTGGTCATCAAGAATATTTACCAATGTTAAAGTTGAGGTCAGCTGCTGAGCTTTACAGCTGGCATACATACGCTGTGCACTGTTTAAATATGCCTCTGGTCAGTTTTATACGTATGTCAGTTGGTCACTGTTTTTAGTCAGCAAAAGATGTGAGCTCAGAGAATACCACTACACTAGGCAGGAAGCCAAAGAAAACAGAAATAAATCAACACAGAATTGGTGTCGTTAGCTGATACATGCTGGAGGATTTACTTAAGAGAGGATCCAGACAAGTATGGACCAAATGGTTCAATGCTAAGTGATGAAGATCTGACAACAAAGAGTGAGCGCCACTTAATTCATTGTGACAGTTATTGTCAGTTAGTCACTATGACAGTAAATTTCAGTCAATCTGCATGACATCACCTGTTATGTTGATAACTACAGGCGGTCATGATTCGCCATCTCACATGAGCATCAGAATTTAAGATGAAGTTTTTGTTTCAGTCTGAATCACAAACCAACAGAAGTTGAATGTTTTACACCCTTTAATCAGAAGATCTCTGGTTAGCAAACCAACAGAAGTTGAATGTTTGAGACTGCCACACTAAAAACATCTTAGTGCTGGTGGTGGACCAAAAGGAAGTCCAAACACCCTGTTCAACCTCCAAGGAAGTTATAATTAGGGTACCCATAATGATCACACCAGCCTGGTGTAACCTGCAGTCCTATGTGGGTCAGGCTGAGTTGCCTGGTAATGACATATTTAACCTCATATCATTCAGCGATGTCAGTAGTGTCAGTCAGTGATGTCAGTAATGTCAATTATGTCAGTAGTGTCAGTTAGTGATGCCAGTAATGTCAGTCAGTGATTTCAGTGTCAGTTAGTGATGTCAGTGAGTTCAGTGTCAGTTAATGATGTCATTGTCAGTTAGGGATGTCAGTAATGTCAGTTAGTCATGTCAATTATAGATGTCCATAATGTCAGTGATGTCATTAGTGTTAGTGATGTCAATAATGCCAGTCAGTGATGTCAGTGTCTGTTAATGATGGCATTGTCAGTGATGTCAGTAATCACAGTTAGTGATTTCAGTGTCTGTTAGTGACATCAGTGTCAGTTCGTGATGTCAGTAGTGTCAGTTATTGATGTCAGTTAGTGATGTCAGTAATGTCAGTTAGTGATGTTAGTAATGCCAGTTATTGATGTCAGTAGTGCCAGTTAGTGCTACAATTAACGTCAGAGCCAACCACTCACCAGGCAATAATGTAAGCTGTGTTACAGGCTGCATAAAATGACCAGGGATGTCCCTACATGGCTGTGAAACTGACCACTGGGCAGTGACATTGTCCTGGGGACCTCTCAGCTCACACGTTATATCCCTTGCGGCACTACCGCCTGGGCAGGTATACTTGCATGTCGTGTACAACATCTTACTGCAGTTGTGGAGTTTTACATGGGGTATATCTCTACACTCTGAAATAATATGCATGTATCAATCAATCAAACACCCATGAACTGACATCAAGTTGCTCAGGATATTCCCAAATATTGGTGGTGGTTAAATTTGATTGCGTGTACAACTGCTGATCTGTTGGTGACTTCGGCTACCATCCATGATGAACTGCATTTCTGATGTCAGACTGTTTGTGTTAGCACTTCAGATGGCTACCGTATGCTTTTAATACGTGTGTAGGCTAGTGCATATGCTGAGACAACAGTCTGTCAATCTTTCCACAAGAGACTGCGACGAACATTCTGTGAGTTTTTGGTTGGCACAGGAGCGGAGGAACAATGGGGTGACCCGTTTGCTATGAAGCTGAAACTAAGATTACCAGATTACCACATTCCCAAATACGCATATTCCCTTCCTCAGAGAGGAACGAAATGTTCCCATACTGATGGTGTCCACTGCACCTGCAGCAGCGCAGTGGTTAGAAGCCTGCATGCCAGTTCAAAGGCCTTGGGTTCAAATCTACACCTGGACAGAACTGACCTATGACTCCCATGTTAACCCAAACCAAATGGGTTCTAGGAAATGTCCTGTGAGGTTAAAGCAACCAGCATGATGTTGACCCTATCCAGTGCCAGCTCGTCAATAAAAGAATATATATTTTTAAAAAAAGTTTTAATCCCACATGCCTCATTCACCAACAGCGTAAACACGCCCCCCCCCCCTTTCTTGTGTACTTATCATCATCATCATTATCCCGTAACACTATGTGTCGTTGGGTCACCAGTTTCTGTTGACTGTCTGATCATCTCTCTCCACCTTTGGCGGTCAGTTGCGATGGACTTCATGGTGTACTGATAGGTGCCCCTAACACAAGTGCAGGGTTTATAGTACTCATCATCATTATGTGCCTTGTAAGTTTAATCAGGGGCCCCAATTTTGAAAAAAGGGGTCGTCGTGGGCCAGAGGCCAAGCCCCAACGTAGAAATCGGCAAAGATTTAAAGACCACTAGTTAGATTTCTTTGGGCTGGATTCAGCTCAAAGGCCGCCAGTTAAATCACGTTGGTGTTCCTGTTTCACCATATCTATGCGTGGCTAAGTCAATCAAGTATTTATCTCTTTGCCTTCCTTGTGCTTTCTTTCCACCAATCTTGCCTGTCTTACCTAATTCATGATTAGATTCCTTCAGACTCTTCTTCTGCCATTATAACCCCCAGTGGAGCATAGGTGCTCAACCAACTCACGCCTAGTCATTCTATCTTCCACTATCCCATGCAGCTCTCCCCATGTCCTCCCCATCTTTTTAATTCACTCTCTATCTCCCTTCTCCATGTTTTTTTTTTGGGTCTTCCTTTATTTCTATGCTCCTGTGGGTTCTAGTGCAAAGACATTCTAGTTATATTGTTCTCAGGTTTTCTCACCTTGTGTTCTATCCACCACCAGCGTCTTTTCTTCACCTCTTGGTCCACTGCAACGTGTTTAGTTCTCTCCCAAAGCTCTAATTTAATGATTATATCATACCATTTAATTCCCTCTATTCCACACAGGCACCAGTTAATGAATGTTTGTAGTTTATTATTTACTAAAAGCACAGGCTGTCTATGTGTAATCTCTCTAATTCTTCTTCTTCTTCTTTCGTTCGCCTGAAATAAGTTGTCTATATCAGCAGTTTTGTCTCTTGTATAAATTTCACTGTCGTTGTTAGTTCATTCAGTCGTCCATAGAGTTTACGTTCCACTGTTGTTCTTTCTGGCCAAAAGGTTTGCCTTAATGTGTCAAAATCGGTGCAGTCCTGGAGTACATGCTCTGCTACCTGGGGCACATTTCCACAGGTGCACATGGCTGATACACCTATATTGAATTTTGTGTACACGTGGTTACGTAATCGGTCGTGCCCTGTTCTGAGGCGGAGGATAATGACTTGTTCTGGTCTGTCCATAATAAAATAGTCGTCTTGTGCTGGGGACTGGTGGTTTCCGGATCTCTCTAAATCAGTTTATGGTCTTCATCCTCACAAGGACTGCCTGATTTGTTTTCCTTTCACTTCACGTTCATATTTTAAAAGACGTGAACATCAAGGAAGATCAGCTAATAAACAGCATCTTGTCCAGGAAGTGAAATATTTTGGTCATATCAAACGCCATGGCAGATTGGAAACAATAACAGTAGAAGGCATGGTACCAGGAAGGAGAGGCAGAGGCCGACCAACCCCAAAACAGGCAGAGGATATAAGTGAGAGCTGGTGAGAGACTTTGTTTCTTTCAGGCAGACTGTGAGAAAAGTGACGTTCTGCAAAGGAACTGCTACACGATGATGACGAGATATTCTCAAATCAATTCCTTTTCATAACATGCCAAAAACAAACAAAAACAAAAAAAATACTGTCTATGTCTAATTTGTCCTGTCAGTTTGTCACTTTCATCTTGAGGACGGAAAAGCTCCGAAATCCGAGCCTCGAACGGTTCCACCCCATACTACACATTGTAGCTCTAAGTGTCCGAGTACTAGGATTAAAAATAAACCTGGTCTCAAGAGCAAAGTGTGCAGAGCATGCTATGTGGAACCACGAAGGACCTGCAACTGAGGCAGCCCACCTAACGATCTGACTTGAGCACATGAAACCGGACACAAAGAAGAAGATATCAAGGACGACTGCCTCCTGTCTTTTTCTATCATTCCATGATACTTTGCATTCTTCTAACAACTCAAATACACCCTGCAAGCAGATGCTTCTCAGCTTGTCTGTTTGTTATCTGTGTCAGTACTAGATAAAGCAAAAACCTTGTACAGTGTATGTACACTCACTCAGTACAAAGCCTACGTCAGATCCATATGCCACGTAGGGAAATGTTATGGTGCCATCAGGTAAAACATGCTGCATGTGTTTATTTCGCCTGAAGCACTGTCGTTCAAAATTCAGCTTTCTGTGGAGATAAAATGGAAAAAATGACAGTGCAAAACAATAAACTAAACTAATTAATGGGAGAGGGGCTGGGGGACTGGGCACTCTACCTCATGTCAGAGGTCAGAGCTCAGAATGGGTCCGAACAATGAAACAAGAATGCGCAATATAAAAACTGTTAATGTCTCTTAGCCTTTCTTGTTCAAGCCTACCTCACCCTCACATGGTGGACTGTTCTCCCAAGTAATTCAGTGGAATGTTGGGGTTTAAACCCTAAATGTAAAACTGGATGGGACAAAAAATGAGGCCAAGGTGAAAATGATTCTGTCAGTCAGCTACTGAGTGGGATGTTTGGTGATACTTTGTGAGCTGTAGATTGCATGGAAAATGCTTGTCTGAGCTCCCAGAGATTAAGAAAATGGCGAGTAGCTAGTTCCCATAGCATTTAGTGCCTTTGGCAGTCATGCATATGGTGTATTATCATCATCATGTGCCATGCCAACTGGCTTAGGCGCTCATATGTCTCCAGAGATCACGATCCCTGGTTGCCTGGAACAGCTCTCTTGATAATATCCCTCCATGCCATCGTTTCAGCCCATCCAGCACCATCTCTCTTGGTTTGCCTCTACCCCTTTTCCCACTAATCTTTCCAGTTGTCACAATGTTCTCCAATGTCTCTCTTCTCATTATGTGACAAAAGAACAGTGTTTGTCTCTTTCTTATATGGTGTATAAACAAAGCCAGTATGGGGTAAAGTGTTTGCAATGAAGTCAGAACCGCGACTGATAGTCTGATGTGAATAAATTAATGAATCAAGAATTTACATCAATGCACTCGGAACATTCCCACACAGACTCCACCCCCTTCTTCAGCAGCTAACAAAGAGTCCACATGCTAACAACATCAGTTGCAACTTGATTAAAAGTCTATCTCTGTTTCCCCCTTCAGTGTTGAAGATTTTCCCGAACCTCTACTCATTCAACTGGTAATAATCTTGTGCCGATGTTGGTGACTTTCTGACTGATTTCATTATTCTCTTCTTCTGTTGATAGGATACTTTATTCCAACTATTATATTGCATATTAACAACATACCTTAATCTTATCACATTTTAAATTTTAATTATTTTCTTTTCCTTTTCTTTTATTTCATAGTATTACTTTATTCTATCTCTTATCAGTATCATGTATGTCTCATTAACATTTGTATTTCTTGTATTCCTACTATTATATTATATATTAACAATATTACTTTTTATTTTTTGCAACTATATTTTTTTTTTTTGGGTAGCCATGGTTATTTTATTTTACTTCATTTATTCCACATCTATTTTTTAAAACTTTGCTCACGTCACCCCTTAGAGATATGAATACTCTACTCTTTGTTGCCTTTGTGTTCACTTCATGTCTGACAAAGGCTGCCGGCCGAAACCTTATTTGTGCTGTTTTGTGCACATTTTTCTGCTTGCCAATTTGGTTAAGCTTTTAGTCACATTTCACTGGAATTCCCTGATAAGAGACTGGTATGTCAGTTTGTTCTTCATCTGCACCTTCCTTAGCTTGTTTATCAGCTCTCTCATTTCTGGGAACTCCTCAGTGAGATGATATCCACTGCACAGTTTCTCATTATTTAATTGTCAGACTGCATACATTTAATGTCAGTTTTGAAAATAAGGTAAACTGGTTGGTCAGTTTTACAGTTGTCAACGATAGATACAGTTTTGGAGTTAATATCAGTTTTACATTTGTCTGCTATTTACATAGTTTTACAGTTAATGTCAGTTTTACAGTTGTCAACTATAAATATAGTTTTGGAGTTTTAGACCATCTTCCATCCACACGGACAGAATTATCTTTAACAGAGTACTAGTCAAATAATGAAACCAAACCCGGCATCTACAGAAATCAAATTAGGAAACTGGAAAACATTTGCTGAAGTCGTCAACAAAGTCAGCATTTACTTTAGTAGCTACAAACATATTAACAAAGTATTTGGACAATTTATAAGCTAAACCAACAGTATCATTTTTTTCTATCTCCGTTCTTTTTCTTGTGTCCTGTTCAACAATGATATTAAAATGTATGCTGGTGTTCAAACAAGTGCATTTCAAAGCAAGGCAACACACAGTTCTATACCTAAAACTGAGTCCCTGAAAGCCAGCTTGTCAGCTGTACAGTCCAAGATTTCTAGAGGAAGAGGTAGTTAGTCACACACCAAACCTTCTTCTTCTTCTTCGCGTTGTAAACTCTGGCGGAAAGTTCTGGTTGTTCATCCCCTTCTGGACTGCAGTCCTGATCCAGAACCTGAGTGTGCATCTGCATCCATTTTACAGACCTGACTCATCTGTATGGCTCCTTGCCTCTCAGGCAGATGCACTCCGACTTCGAAGGAAGCTCCCAATTAGTTGACTCTTATGACATGCTTTTGGGTAGGCAGTGGGTCTTTTCTTGTTTTCCCTATAATAGGGCCCCAGAACTCACACGGGGAACATCAAACCTTCTTAACTGCCTCTAACAAACTACTGAGTATGTTACAGGGTTACAACTAGAGGGAAATGTCGAAGGCAAGAGAGAGTAGGAGGACAACATCAAGAGATAGATGAACAGCAGTCCGAGGCAAAGACAAGAGACAGAGAATGCTGGAGATCCAATGCAGCCAACCTTTAATGTGGAGATGGCATCTGACTGATTATTTGCTTCTCTTGTGGGACCAATTAACATACGGAGAAGATAATTAAACACAGAGGTGAATAAGGTGGGGAGGAAATGGAGTAAGATACAGGAGATGGCCAAGATAAAGAAGCTTCAGCTAAGGTGGTTGACAGCCCATCCTCCACTGAGGAATAAAAGGAAGAGGAAAAATGAACGAATGAATGAATTTTATTTTACATTCATCCCTTTCACCCTCAACTGCATGTTATGTTTATTTTTAAAATACATAAAAAAATAATGCATATAAGCATCTTGCATACACAATCATAGACACTCTGAATATGCACGTACACATACACTCTTATATGCCCATACAAACACAGAAACCAATACATCCATACATTTACATTCACACACTCATATACACATCCTCATACAAATACATACATGCACTTATAATCATTCAGATCCATACAAGAACCCACATTTATGCATACAAATGCATTTTCTCACACATGCACAATCCCCTTTATGCACACATACACTCCTACTTACATGGAAGAGGAAAAAGAAGAAGGAGGAGGAAGAAGGAGGAGGAGGAAGAAAAATAAGATGAAGAAATATAATAAATCAACTACAAAAACCTGGTATACTTACATCTGTTCCTTTGTGCCAAACTGGCAGTAGTAGTATATTTTGTGATGAACATCCCAATAGTATATTCTACAAAATTAACAAAAATATAGATAGGTAAGCAAAGATTTTCATAACACTGTTACAAAAACCATACTAGAGGGACAAACAGAAGGTAAGCGAGCACGAGGGAAACAGCAAAACAAGTGGGTGAATAACATCAAGAAATGGACAAACAACAGTCTGAAAGAGTGTACATCCAGGATGAAAGAGAGCATGTTGGTGATTCACTGCAGCCAACCTATTCTTTTAAATTAAAAAGAGAGACAAATAATACAAGATTAACATAATGCACTTTTAAAAAATCATACTTGGAGGGGGGGAAAGGCAAGCCAAAAAGAGGCAGACATTGATATAAGTGGGAAGATAACATCAAGATGAGGAAAACAAAGACAAAAAGTGTACATCCAGAGCCAGAGACAATATCAAGAGATGGACAAACACCGCAGCCAACTTTCACTGTGAAGATGGCACTTAATTTATTGACTGAAGTCAAGATATGTAAACTTCTTTTTCTTCAGCATTCCAAGCCCTTGAGATTCATTGCCGCAGATATCAGCCACCTCCATTCATCTTTCTGGTAGGCCTTCTTTTTCCAGTTGGTGATACCAAGAGTTTGCAGGTCTGTCTGGACATTATCTCTCCATCGTCTTCTTGGTCTACCTCGTGGTCTAAGACCATTCATCTCCCTTGTGTTAACAGTTTTCGCTTCTCTGTCATCTGATATTCTCTCAATATGCCCCAACCATTTAAGTCTATTAGCTCTCATGATGCCAGTGATCAATGGTGATTTAAACAGATTATGAATTTTGTTCTTGCTTCTCACTCTCCATTCCCTGCTGTTTGCATCTTTGATGGGTCCAAAGATTTGAAACCTATAATAAGGCTTCATCTCTTTTGGATGTGCTCCAAGTTTCAGAGCCATATAAAACAACTGGTCTTATCAAGATATGTAAATGATAATATTAATTCTTACAGTACCACAGGACAGTTAAATAAGTTACAAATCAACATATGATGCAAAAAAAATGAAAGTAAAGGTCCCATAAACCGGAAGGGAAGAGGAAAGGGGAAGACCAAAAGAGACCCTGCAAAGAACCTTCACCATGAAAGGGCCAACCACGGGCCTAATGAATATTCAAGACTCAAAGCATGTGGCAATGAATGGCCAGACATGGAGAGCTATGAACTTTGCCCTACGCACCGCTCTAGGCTCAAGAGGAAAGATTAACTAACTAACTAGCTAACGATTAAAATTTTCTGAGGTATAACAGGCAGAGGCACCAGTCCCATATCTGTATAGACTAATGTGTAAGTGTGCACAGTTTTTCAGAGGTTTCTGAGAGTAACTGCTGGAGATATGATGTCTATGCTGAATGCAATGCTTTGGGTGGAAGAGCTTGGCAGTTTACAAAAGCAGCAAACCAGAACTGACTAATTTACAAAAGCAGCAAACCAGAACTGACTAATGCCATTCTCTCCTATCAGGAACACCCATTGTTTCTAATTAATGGTTTGCTAAAATCTAATACTTTGGGCAAAATTAAACAGGATTCACAGACTATGAAAATGCTTTTTAAAAGCACTCTTCTTTTTCTTCTTCCCATTCACTGGATGTAAACTGGAGGAAAATTATGATTTTTCATCCAGATTTGGGCTTTGATCTTTTTCCAGAAGTTGTGTGCACATCTATTGTACAGATCTGACTTAACTGTATGCAGATTGTTAGTTCCTCTTTTCTCAGGCAGATGTACTCCAGCTTTGAAGGAAGCCTCCAGTTAGTCGACTCCTATAACCTGTTTGTTGGGGAGGAAGTAGGTCATTTCTTGTCTTCCCCTTACGGGGGGACCCAGAACCCACACAGCACTGATAGATAATTCCTTTGGAAACAGATAGGCACTATGGAATCATACAGCAAACTATTCACTAAGTAAAAGCAAACCGAAGGAAAGCTAACAGATATAAATGAAATAAAAATACATGTGAGATAGGTTTTCTGTCGCCTCCTTGGGCCAACCAACCCTAACCCCTCTATAACAGTATTATTAATAATGGACTTTCCTGGGGATTCCCGTGTTTCCTGTGTCTGGGGTGAGATCAAATGATAGTACCCAAAAAATGTACATGAACATCGGTGATGGGAAAATGCGTTCAGCTGAGTTGGAGTTAACCCAACAAAAATGCATGTATCAATGTATCAGGTAATGTGGTAAATGAAGACACGAATGCAGTTGAGGACATTCCCTTCTGACTGGAGCTGGAACTACTGGAAGAAACTAAAAACTGGACTGCTGATTAAATCCAGAAATGAATCTGAAAAACAAATTGAAGGATCATCAAATCAACATATCATTTCACAGACACTTTCTGTTTCACAATGAAACCGCTGTTGTCTGGCTGTCAGTAAGGTTGAGAAGTAAAATAATGATACTAGATAGAAAGAAGAGTCTAGTGAATCCGACCAACTAACAACAAACTTTACTTACAACGTCTCGTTGTCTTTAACCTCAGAAAATTGTGCACAATTTAAAAACACACAAAGCAACAACAAGATCCGATTCATGATTGCTCTAACTTCCTGAAGTTTGTTTTGTAACTCAAAACACAGTACTAACACAGTACTGTGTTTTAGATTTTTAGATCCTGGTCGTGACTTCTTGTTCGTATGCGTGTTTTTTCGATCAATTATTTATTACTTAGAAAAGTCCGGCGTAAATGTCGTTAGCTCTTTCTAGTCTAGGAAAGACGCCGCGATTTCTTCTTCTTCTTTTGTCGTCTCACTGATACCAGGTTGTAGCCAGTGTTTCCACTTTTCTTTGACACAAAAAAACACATCCAAAACGGAGTCAAAAAATATCTAAAAACATTTAAATTTGCGTGGGGGAAAACATCTAGAAAAAACATCCAAATGGAAAGAGTCACAAATTACATAGCAATGATATATTCATATATTCAATGAGTATGATCCGGAGGGTTCAGGCAGGTTCAGTGCGAAGACAATGGCTTGAATCATTACAGAAGTCTGTCCGTGGAGTCACCTTTATTTTTGTTCCGGGACACGCAGGCGTCGATGGAAATGAAAGAGCTGACAGGTTGGCTGGATCCGCTATCACATCACTACCGACGGTCAGCCTATGGATCATGCTGATATTATCAATGCCCTCAGAGAAATGGGAAGAATAGAGGACTTTGGTAATGTCGTATAAAGATTGTATATTGTGCAGTGAATCCACATCACTCGCCAGAATGGCAGACTTGGGAATTAAGATCGGCACAGCAAAAAACGAGACGCACACCAGCTACGCCAGAAGACTTGTTAATCAACATAGAACTGGTACTATTAGCCATCGGACGTTGGGGTTCATACTGAGGGGAGGATTTTAGCACCTATGGACATGTCCGGAGTGCAATGAGGATAACCCAACTAACTAACTAACTAACTAATAGCAATGATATGACTTACCCCAAAGAATCATATCTTCATCTTCACTGATGTCTGTCTCTCAAGATCCACAGGATAAACTTAGCTTGGATGATGAAGTTGAAGGTTCAGATCCAAAATTACAACGGTATGCTTTAGCTGTTCCAATTCTTTTAATACCCAATCAGGGAGCTGATAAGTGGAACAGCCTATTCCTACTCTTATCAAGCCGAATTTTATTGTCAAGATAGCATTTAAGATGTCAAATTTCATCCTGTTTCTTAGGTTAGATTTGATAAATTCACTTCAAATGAAAAACATCTAGAAAAACATAAGCAAAGGGGAACTGAAAAAGCTGATCAACTGGCAGCGGAAGGTGCGACAAAAGATCAGCCGGATGTACTAGTCACATTCCACCAAAAGAAAAGAATCATTAAATCGATCAGGAAACCACCAGCCCCAGCACAAGACGACTATTTTATTATGGACAGACCAGAACAAGTCATTATCCTCCGCCTCAGAACAGGGCACGACCGATTACGTAACCACTTGTACACAAAATTCAAGATAGGTGTATCAGCCATGTGCACCTGTGGAAATGTGCCCCAGACAGCAGAGTATGTACTCCAGGACTGCACCGATTTTGACACATTAGGGCAAAACTTTTGGCCAGAAAGAGCAACAGTGGAACGTAAACTCTATGGACCACTGAATGAACTAAGAACGACAGTGAAATTTATACAAGAGACAAAACTGCTGATATAGACAACTTATTTCAGGCGAACGAAAGAAGAAGAAATATGCAAGGGGAAACATCTAAATCTGGATGTAAAACATCCAAAGTGGCAACACTGCTTGTACCCCACTGTTGTGGTATTTGATGGCTTCTCGGGTGGCTTGGACAATGGATTTGTTCATCTTTTTGCAGGTTTCAGCTATACCGTTTATCCCTCTCTTTCTCTGACTCCCTCTTGCCTTTCTTCCAGATGTTCTGCTGTAGAAAGTCTCACATGCATTATGGTCTGGATGATTCATAATATCACTTGTAAAATTAATCTTTATCTGTCTGTCTGCCGTCGGTCGGTCTGTCTGTCTGTTTTTTTTCAAATTACAGTAGAGTAAGATAGTACAACCCTCCCCGTGACCTTTTTTCCCTTAGCAAAGTTCTCAGTGAACTGATAAATTGCCATAGAACATCACAGAAGACACCCCCCCCCCTCTTTTTTTTTTTCCTCGTCTGTTTTCTAGACCATCTCTCATTCTTCACTCTTCACCAAGATGGAGCCCTGAATTGACTGCTGAATTCAACATAATTGTGGATCCTTAAGATAAGCTAAGAACACGAACGAACTCTAGGTGTAATTGACTGACTCTTATAAATGATGAAAATTATATTTAAAAGGGGGTGTTCAGCCTTTTATAAAATGGATGGGATGGGGACCCTCAAAATGCCTGAGTTCCCATGTGTTCAGGCGCCTATGTGATGGGGGGTCTGCTGACAGGGAAAAACCCGGAACGTGCAGAGAAGACATTCCGAACTATGGCCTAATCGCATCCATTCCCGTATATCCGGTGTTAAATTAGACCTTGTTACCTTTACCTTTTTTACTACATTCTGCGTTTGTTAGTAGTAGTAGCAGTAGCAGCAGCAGCAATGGTAGTAGTTGTAGTAGTAGCAGCAGCAGTAGTAGTAGTAGTTGTTGTTGTTATTGTTGCTATTGTTGTATTAGTAGTATTAGCAGCAGCAGTAGTAGTAATAGTAGTAGTAGTAGTAGTAGTAGTAGTAGTAGTAGTAGTAGTAGTAGTAGTAGTAGTAGTAGTAGTAGTAGTAGTAGCAGCAGCAGCAGCAGGAGCAACAGTAGTAGCTGTAATATTAGTAGTAGCAGCAGTAATAGTAGTATTGGTATCCTTTACTACTTAATTTGTAGTGGTAATGATAGCGGTAGCATTAGTAGAAACAATAGTAGTAATTGGTGTAGTAGTGGTTGTACTAATCGTAGCGATATTAATAATAGTAGTTGCAGTAGCAGTAGTTGTTGTTGTTGTGGTAGTTTTGGTGGTGGTAGTAGTGGCCATGGTAGTAGTTGTAGCAGCAGCAGCAGTAGCAGCGCCAGGTAGTGGTAGTAGTTAACTCAAATAATACACTGTTTAACCCGTCTTAGTTATAAACTGAGATTTGTTTTTCAATATTGGATATTTGTGCTTATCAGTAACCCTTCTGTGGGTATTTAATCGTGAACAGATTATATAATAACTGAACCAGATGTGTTAGTTTCATCTAGGTGATAGCCTTCTTTGACACCTTTGTGTTGTATTCAGTTGTTACACTCACCCTCTCTGCTAAAATTCTTAGTTTTAACTAATTTTGTCTTATTGTGTTTTTCTTTTAATATCCTTAGATAAGTGTCAGACCTTCCTGAGAGATATACTCCCACCCATACCCGCTCTAGGCCGACCCAGGCAAAATCTAATAGTCCTTTTCAGGACTATCAGATAACCCCTCCCGATGCAGCAAATGTAGCAGAAACACGAAGCAATCGCAACAAGACGTGAACCCGCGTCACAAGAAAAGAAAGATTCTAAACCATAAGAAACAAAAGGACTTAACTAAAACCAAGCCCTCAAGGCAGGTTGAAAAGTCCGAACTATCCCCCCCCCCCCCCCCTAATCAAGATCAAGAGAGGAAAGCAATCAGTCAAAATTCGTTCTCATCATCAGTTCTGACCTTAATCCATCTCAAACTATTGAGTTTACAACTGAAAGCATGGCACTCGGAATAGTCCCTACAATCCCGCCGTTATCATCCTCTGCCAACATCGTATAGTTCCCACTATGGTGGTATCAGCAGTAGTTAATGTGTATGTCTTGTAGGTTTATGATCTTAAAGCCCCCGACTGTTGAATGATTCTTGCCAGGCTTAGGAAGTGGAATCAGGTAGCTGCGCCTCTACTCTTCTGGGACTGAAGCTGTCCTAATGCTCTGGTTGAAGCAAGCAGTCATCTCCAACAGGCCTGCATCACTCATGTCTTGCATGTGGGAATATCTAACCCGGTCGGGCCCGAGTACAGTGTCTTTCGCCTTTTTCAGAACTCGTTTTACATCGTCCACCTGTAGGATGTCTTCATAATGTTTGTTCTTTAAGATGGCTGCCAGATCTTCTCTAACTCTATCTCTGTTATCTCCATCTTTGTGGTCTGTCTGTGAGATGAACCTCTTCAGGAAAGCCTCCCCTTTCTTTTTGTCTGTAGTTAATAGCATACCGTCACCTCTATGAATTGCTCTTACTAGGCTGGGCCGATCTTTCTTGAGCATCTGCCAACGTAGCTTCCAAAACTGTCCCAGTGTCTCATCGCTCCCAATCTCATCAATCATAAAAAAAATGCTCACATTTTGATTTTTTGGCCTCTGTCGCACAGCGCTTGAAAAACTCTATCTTATCTTTCTTAGCTCTTTCCGCGCTCTCCAACTCCTCATGTGAGCTTAGGGCTGTCTGTCGCCCTTTCTTTAAACGCTTTACTGCAGCTCTCTTTAACTTTCATGCCTATTCAACCTCTGATATCCACCATGGAGGCTACACAAAAGTAGATCTGCCGGCCCTCTTACATGCCCTCTGTCGAAGGAGTCCAAGAAGGGTGTTAGTCCACTCATACATGAAAGGCCTAGAAGCTCTTGAAGCCTTGACTTTCTTAGATTTGGAAATAAATACCGAATATAGCAGATGGCCATTTCCGTGATCGCACAGGAAAGTCCATTTGGTGTCCAGTACTGCTGAATGGGTAACCAGAGGCAGGTCAATAGCCGTGTCTGCATTACCTTACCTCATTGCCATCCTAGTTGGCGTCTCGTCATTTAAACAGACAAGGTCTAAATCAACTATGTCGGTTTTCCCCAGTGCTATCCCATTTATTGTTCCGTGCATTGAAATCCTCACAAATGAGGAGCCTGTTGCCAGAAATCCCCTCCAGGTCTTTCAGCCAGTCCCACTGTTTTTCGTAACTAAATAGCCCACGGCAGCATATACATTAATTATGTTCCAACGAGGGCCATCAATCTCCATCTGTATTCCCTGCACATCTCTAGCATCATTATTCCAGAGACTCAGATCAAGCAACACATGTTTCAAGCCTTCATTGACTAGCAGACATCGCCTATGTCTCCCATGATGCCCACCATGGCAGCTGACTGCATTCAGCTCCTGAAGCATGATTACATCAAAGTCGTAAATGAACCTCACTTATATGGACCCTCTCTGTCTGGCACTACAAAAGTTCCAAAAACACACTCTCACATGATTAAACCCCCATCCGGTCTGTTTTTCGCCTAAATTTCCTGTCTCCCTCTGTTCTATTTCTCTGCTTTCTTTTCTCACAATTTCCTCGTTTTCTCCTCTTCACTCTCTCTCTCTCTCTCTCTCTCTCTCTCTCTCTCTCTCTCTCCCGCTCTCTTTCTCTCTCTCCCGCTCTCTCTCTCTCTCTCTCTCTTCGCTGCTTGCTAAAGATGACGTTAAGCGCGGAGCACGTCCTCCGTAGCTCCGGCTACAATTCTTATTAAATGTTTTGTTTGTTTGTTTTAGTATCCAGAAGCCATGAGTTGTTAACCCTTAGGCTCGGTATTACGGATATCGCAACCTTTGATTCCATTGTAAATACCGTAAATCTGGGAGAAATTGATGCTTTTCTGCCTACCCACGGGAGTGAACCCGGATCACAAGGAGTTCGTCACCCGGTCACCGTGCAATCCGGTTTAGCCAACTACGCTAGAGAGCTGGGCTCTTATTAAATGAAAATGAAACATCCATATGTTGAAGTAGTTATGGAAGTAACTGATCACTCTAGTAGAGCCTGCCTGCTAGGAAAGAGGCAATGGACATCCTTTTGGAGTCCATACGATTGACGCCTCCCCCCCCCCCCTCCTTTCCCGCTGACCAGACGTCCATGTTCATGACTGCCTATCCCATAGCCATTCAGCTTCTTTATTATCCTTTATCATATCCTTTATTATTCCAAAGGATTCGCTTATTTGCTTCCTTTTATGTAATTGTTACTGTAGTATGCACCTGACAAGATACAGCGAAATATGCTCGGCAATAAATTGTGCAGTCTATTGTTTGTGTTTTCTTTGTTCAAACAGTTTAATTGTTAACGTCCCAAAATTACATTGTTCAGCTACTAAGACATCTGCTGCTTTGGCGTTAGACACTATGAGATACGTGGCTGTCGCCTTTTTTTCTGTTTGACGAAGCGCGTCAACAGAACCCATGCCATTTATCCATTCAGCGGACCAGTGGGTCTGTGGACTACCTATTTGAAGTTCGCTACAAAGAGTCGGGTGAATCCCATGTCCGCCGGTCCACAAAAAACAGGATATATGAAATAGGATAAGGATGTTAGCAAACGCCATAAACAGAATGCGGAACTGAATTATATCTAAGATAAACAGTGTGTCATTTATATTTTGGAGAGGAGAACAAATACAGCCTCTTTTGACCTTCAAGGCTTACTCCTCCTTACCCTTATCATCCTTATAATCGTCACTCACACCAGCTTTATCCTACTACTACTACTACTACTACTACTACTACTACTACTACTACTACTACTACTACTACTACTACTACTACTACTACTACTACTACCACTGCCACTACTACTTCTACTACTACTACTACTACTACTACTACTACTACTACTCTACTACGTACTACTACTACTGCTACTACTACTACTACTACTACTACTACTACTACTACTACTACTGCTGCTGCTGCTGCTGCTGCTACTACTACTACTTACTACTACTACTACTCATACTACTACTACTACTACTACTACTACTACTATATACTACTACTACTACTACTACTGCTGCTACTACTACTGCTGCTGCTGCTGCTGCTACTACTACTACTACTACTACTACTACTACTACTACTACTACTACTACTACTACTACTATACTTCAGCTACTACTACTACTTCAGCTACTACTACTACACTTATTACTACTACTAAAAATGTAGTTGCTTATCCTTTACATGATGTTGCAGAACCAACCCCAGCATTTTTTGTTGTTGTGGATTTTCTAAGCAAATTTTACGTTCAGTAGTTTGCCGCTGCTACTAAACGGTCAGCTCTCGGTACCAGTGTCTAAACTAAGGCATGACAAATCGCCCGCAGCTATGATCAAACCCTGCATTACGAAGCGCGTTCGCAACACCTAATCATGAACCCACACTAAACTACAGATGACGGCACTACTACTACACTACCATATAATATTGTACTGCTCTCTATTTGTAAATTAGTTCCTGATCGCATCTATTAGTCCTGTCTTTACTGACACTTAATCACTTGATTTAACGTTGTCCACGCTTTATAAAGTGAAAATTCTCCTAGGTTTTCCTACCTTAGACCTGCAATTACAAGTTTTAAAAAATCCTTTTGTGTGGGAAGGGGAGTATACATGTAATTTTTGGAGGGGGGTCGTGGGTCAAGGGGGCTTACTCTTTGTTTACAGATTACAATCAATATATTATTTTGTGCTGACTGTCAAGAGTCTTTGAAACAATGTGAAATGTATACACAAATACTTTTTTTTTTAAAAAGAGCGTCTATACATGGTTAGGGAATATACGGAGTAGTCGGTTGTATTTCATCGAAGAAGAAGAAAAAACCAGTCACATATATAGGTTCTAAAAATACTGAGAATTAAAAGAGTTCTTAAAAAATATCATTTCAAAAACTTCAGAAACAATAAAAGTCATAACACGATACACGGGGAATGGGGATCAAATGCAAGAGGTAGACAACGAAAACCTTGGAACAATATCAAGAGATGGACAATTTTCTTAGATAATCTACAATCAAGACAAGAGACATAGTGTGTTGGAAATCCTTTGCAGCAGCCGACCTTCCCTGTGCTAACGGATCCCCTGTTCAGTCGATAGGAGACTCGCTTTCAAATCCGTCTGCGACTCGCTGCAGCCTACGGCCGGTGTTCGAAACCGGGCGGTTCCGGGGTTCATCTAGCCTCTAAGAAATGGGTACCAGAGCTGACACTCTCGGGTAACGGAGTTACGTGCGGACGGCGACACAGACGGACAGTTTCTTATCAGCTGTCCGTACTCGTGGCAGAGCAATTATGGTTTATAACCGTGTTTAATGACGCTGATTCACTTCTCCCGACTTCACTATTTTTTACTTTTACTCACGCCTACCGACATGGCGCACACGAACTGATACATGCTGCAGGAGATCGCGGATTATGGAGAGGTATGATCGCCCACGCTAGTCGGCAAGGCACCTGATGATGATGATGATGATGATGACCGACGTGGCACATGATGATGCTGAAATGAAAGTACATTTGTTAACGCCGACACTGAAGAGTTGCCCGCTGAAACAAACAAGAAGCGCATCATCTCTGAACACACACGACCTGTTTTGTTTTTGTTTGGTGAACCAGTCGATCTTTTAGATCGTTTTGTTTAACATGGCAGACAGTCAGGGAATCAGTGCATTCCCCATGCCACCGATGAATTATGTCAATAATTATACTGATGAAAACATAAAGAGAGGGAAAGCACCGTTGCCACCGCCACCAATTCAGGTCAGTAGAGACTACTGTTTGTTTACGGTGGCCGACCATAAGGGAGACAATCCATCGTGTGTGTATTTTCAGATAGTGGTGTCTGTTATATTTAATATTGCTACAGGTTAGTTTTGGTTAAGATGTAGGGCTAAGTCAGATTTGTAAAACATTCGGGAACTAATGTCCAGTGGTGGATGAACAACCAGAACTTCCCACGAGTTTACAGCTGAAGGAGAAGATGTGGTGGTTTAGTTTAACTACTACTACTAGTCTTGCCTTTCCTCCGAGTCTCGAATGAGAATGATGTCCAGTGACCACAGAAACTAACCTCTCATTCTCTACAGGTACTGGTTTTGAGTATCTAAGATCGTCCATTTTATTTTACTAGTTACCTCGTTTTACAGGCAAAAGATTACCTCTGCCATACCCCTAAATGGGGCCAGTCCAGCCAACCTATCTGCCTGCTGATTCCCAAAAACACACCTACAATGCCTACATTGACAGGGCCAATCAGCCCTATATAATAAAAGCCTTGAGATTGGCTGGCATGTTTTCTTACCGGCCAGTAAGATTCTTCTCATATTTCTTGCACATGTGTGGGCTGTTCAGTGATGGCTTTCAAGAAAATGTGATGTGTTCTGTAATTTTACATCCATTTTTGTGTGTGTTACCTGTGCCCAACAGTGGTGAAAAGGACAGTTGCATCATAGCAAACAGAATATAGTAGGAAACAGGAAGAGGAGAAGAACCATGTGCCAGACATGTCTGGAGGGCCTACGTGGGCTTTACTTCCCAAAATGCAAGTGTTAGGACTTATTCAGGCTTCATTCATCAGAAAATTTAGCCAATTGTTCAGTTCAATCACATTTGTCCTAAGTAAATTTTGTAAAAAAAAAAAAATAGCATTCATGAATATGCAAATGCAGATGTCAAGCCTAGCTGTAAATCACAACACAGCATGTCAAGGGCCTTTTTAAGGGCGAATGTGAAAGAGATGTGATTTTAAACAAGAATGCATACACAATCAAAATGAAAAATCTGGATGTTCTGAAAGATGCAGAGACTGGAAGACAAATTATAATTTTTGGCCAGTTTATGAGAATAAAAGATACTGGGGAACATGTTCTGACTGGAAAGATTTTTGAAAAGAGAGATAGGGGTGGGCTCAAGAGACCTAAGTCTTGTTTAAGTACATAATATGTATGTGTGCAGCTTCAGGCTACACCCCCATATCCACCAGCCTAGATAGGAATACAGAATCATGCCTTTTGCCATATTCATCTTTGCAATATGCACCATGAATAGCCATTGATGACATTCTTTCTACCAATACTGGATCAATCATAGCAACTCTGTCTGCAGTCTATATTGATTTCTATAAAAAATATACTATTTTTGTTACTTTTATTCTTCTGCTTATTTGAAAACATTTTTTTTAAAATTGTTCAGTTTTAAATATTTCCCTGCAGGATTCATACTCTATGTTTGGGGCCCAGTTCACTTCAGACGATACAATCATTAGACCTCTGGAAGCCTCCGGATGCCGCAGACTGTACCCACACAACTATGATCATAAACGTGAATTGAAGAAGCTCAATCATTCTATTTTGGTAAGCTTTTGAAGTCGATAATCAGTTAGTTAATCAGTTGATCAGAGTTCCATCTTCTTGGCAAAAGGGTTACCGTTAGTGGCTTACGCCATTCCTGTCACAGTTGAAAGCACACAGAATACCCATCACTGTCATTTTTGGAAATTTTTTTATAACAGACTACAGGCAGCAAGGCCAATAACATACGCATTAAATGCATGAGGCAGCTATCAGAAATGCAAAACACAACAGTCCACCACTAGAGTTGCAATTTCACTGTCAATGGAAGCAGTGGTTACAACAGATCAGCAGTTGCACTTGCAGTTAATCTCATAAGGCGGCAACAGGCTTCTTGTCATTTTCTTAATCTGCAGTTTACAACACAAACCACCTTGGGCAGCATTGAAAAAACATTGCAAAATCTGCAGCTCACAGTGTTTATGTTTGTGTTTATTCAACGGATCAACATCATAGAACAAGGTGTAACCCATTAGTGCTCCGCTTTACTTCTAACTCAAGCCTGAGTCTGAAGAATCTCAGTGCAGTGCATGAACTCCGTTGCACTAGTGAGGATTCTTAAATACTTTGGGTAGAATTGTGACTCCAGATTTTGCCCAGGCAGAGCAATTAGGCTACTCTTTTTCGATTTCCAACTGCCAAGGGACTTTTTTATGTGTGCAACACAATACACTTGGGTGTCCTGTCTTACTACCCAGAAATCAGGGGAAATTACTAGAAGTCCACATGAAGAAATACCAGCCTTCACCGGAGTGTGCACCCAGGACCTCCAGCACTCAAGGATGATACTATACCTCGAGACCACTCAGCTCACAGTGTCATGCCATGCACTCACCTCAGTAGCTGGATGACAGAACTGTTTACTTTCAGTCGACATATGGAGCAACAGCTAATTGGCTAGAAGCAGATAGCTTTCCAACACTAAAAACTGTTGGCCTACCTTTTCACCGTATTGGACTGGAAAGAGTTTTCTGTTTTGTTTTCATAATTTGTATTAAAGCAAACTCATTTGTATTGACTCTTTAAAAAATGAGGCTACACCCACGGCAGAAACTCCGCAATTGGCATTTGAATTGTTAAACCTTCATATAATTATTTTTTGTTGGCACCTTTCTCTTGTGTTTAGATTGTGAACACCGGAAAGGCTAACCCAGACAACAAAGGCATACAGAAATCGGATGTGTCAGCCAAAAGGCACAAATATCGCAGTCATTTCATTAACAGACATAATGCATTTACCTTTTCGGATAAATGCAGAAGAAGAAGATGATGGCAAACAGCAGACATATGTACAGGAAGTTAAAGATTGATAACTCAGAACTCTGCCCATGGGAACAGGCATGACAAAATACAGAGTATGTGCTCCAGATATGCAGTGGGGAGATCCCGGATCTGGCCAGTTGGAATTCTGATGGAAAGCAAGCTATAGGATTCAGTAGAATACATGCGCTGCATCAAAACCCTTATAGATGACTGTTGCATTCTCATCTGAAAACAACTGGCGGGGAGAAAAAAAAAAGAAGAAGGCACATTTCGTCTTTCCAGACAAAAGTGTTTCATTGGGAGGCATGGGATCCATAGCTTTAGCAAAATCAGTTGAAGCCAAAAAATGAAGTTCTTCCTGGCCACAAAGAATCCCTATCTGGGTTCTGGGGCCCCCTTGTAGGGAAATCAAGAACATACCCACTGCCTTCCTGGCAAGCATGTTGTAAGAGTCGATTAATGGGGGGAGGGGGGGGGGGGGATTTCTTTGAAGTCAGGGTGCATCTGCCTGAGAGGCAAGGAACCATCAGTCTGCATACATATGAATTAGATCTGCAAAATGGATGTGCACACAATACTGAGATTCTGGGCCAAGATTGAAGTCCAAGGTAGGCAAACAACAAAAACTTTCTGTTGGCCTTTACAGCTGGTGAACACAAAGAAGAAAGAAAACCAAATGGTTCCCATGCAGCATAAACCCTCTCATTGTTTCGATAACTCCAAAGGAAAGGTAGCATAAATACATTTAGAATAAAGCATGCTGCAGAAGGTGCTGGAGCAGAAAAGCAGGGCTCTGTCCGTGCATCGGAGTTTCTCTCCTAGACCAGCTGCCAGCCAAGGTTAAGGGCCTGACATAGCATTAGATTTTCAGGTGGCATTTCCACTTCCTAGGATAAGGCTAATATTCTTCATAGGTGGACAAGTTATCTTTGTTATCCCACAAAACTATGATTAGAAGCATGAAATGAAGAAGCTCAGTGATTCTGTTTTGGAAAGCTTTTTAAGCTATATTTCTAACACACCCATTTGTGTTGACTCTTTGTGACAACAGAATGAAAATGATGAAATCGTATAGAGAAGACAAGATAGTAAAGCAAGCAAGTAAAAGACCCTTTTCCACACCTTCAGTTGTATTGGGCATATAGGGCTAGACCTTTATTTTATAGACCATTTTGCACTCAGTGGGTGATAAGGTAAACATCACATCAATCGCCAATACTTCCCAGGACTATACATGGTACCCACTCAAGACTGGATTGATCTGAGAGCTAAAGTAATTTTGGGAACCCACGACCTTAGACTTAAGATCATTGTGTAGCGCAGGACTATTCAACTAAGTTTAGCGAGGGGCCAATGTTTGGAACATGGGGATCGTCACGGGCCAGAGGGCTCAACCTTAGCATAGAAAGATCAGGAATACAAAACTACTGGCAATGTTCCGCGGGCCAGATTTGGCCTGCGGGCCGCCAGTTGAATAGCCCTGGTGTAGCAGGTTCTTTGCAGAATGTCGCTCTCATCACGGTCTTCCTGAAAGATACTAGGTCTCTCGCCTCATGTACTTTCATACTCAAGGAGTCACTTATATCCTGTGCCCATCTTCATGTTGGTCGGCCCCTCCCCCTCCTTCCTGGTACCATGCCCTCTGCTATTATTTTTTTCTAATCCATCATGGCGCTTGATGACTTAAGATAGTCGATTGATATGAATAATCTGTAGAGCTTGTTGACTGTGCTACCTGAGAGGGCTAAGGAAAGGATGGCCTAATGTTTGAAGGCTTAGGGCCTATGCTCTGATAGGGGATGAAGGGCAGAAAGTGCTTCTGCTGCAAGAGATGTAGTATTTTGTTCTTACCATGTAATCCTCTGATGATTACTTTTCTCTTCTAATGAAACAGGTGAATTTTCTGGATCTCCTGGATGTTTTAATTCGGGCACCGGAGTCCCCGAAAAGGACGGAGAAGCTAGAGGACCTCAACCTGCTGTTTATTAACATACACCATCTCATCAATGAGTTCAGGTGTGTGTGGAAATAAAATCATGTTCTCACCATGTGGGTTTCTGAGGCCCCCCCCACCCCCCTTTTCCCAACAAGCATGTCATAACAGGTGACTAACTGGGGGTTTTCCTTTAAAGTTAGAATACATCTGCCTAAGAGGGGGAGGAACCAACTGGTCTGCAAACAGATAGCCAGATCTGTAAAGACAGATGTGCATCAGAAATCAAATTCGTGAACGCTAAGAATAAGGTGGATTTTCACGAGTGTTTTGACATTTTCGCATTATTCATATCATTGTCATCATCGTCAAGTGCCTTGCTGACTGGCGCTTGGGCCAGCATCCCACTACACGTGGCCTCCAACAGCATGGATCAGTTAATGTGCTGACACCCCTCCATGCTGTGGCAACAGGCTGTTGGGAGTATTCTCACATTGTCTTCCTCATTATTCATATAAATAATAATAGATTAATGTGCTCACTGGCTTAGTGGTCAGTGATTGCGTTCAGTATTGTCACGAGTTTAGATGGGTGTGCAAATAAGATGATGTTCACCCCATGTGGGTTCCAAAAACCCATTTTGGGGGTTAAAAGAAGCCCTATCCTCCACAACCCAATAAGCGTGTAATAACAGGTGACAAACTGAGGGTTTTTCCTTTCACGTTGGAGTGCATCTGCTTAAGAGACGCGAAACCAAACTGTATATAGACCAGATCCCTCAAACAGATGTGCATGCAAAAGTTAAGTTCTGGAACAAGACCAAAGTCCAGAAGTGGACAAATAGCTAGAACTTTCCGCGGGAGTTTACTGCTGGTGAATGCTAAGAAGAAGATGGAGTGCTCTTCTGTTCATGAGTGTTTTGACATCTTTGCATTATTCCTGACATCATCATTAGATGCCTTGCTGACTGGCTTTGGCCAGGATCCCTCACCACATGACCTCCAAAAGCATTACATTGTCATCCTCGTTATTCATATATCATGAGATTAGTGCGCTCTTTGAACACCAGGTTTTGAGTTCAGTGGCAGACAGTTTAGAAAAGGCTGTTTCTGTGGCTTTCAGACAGCCGTATGAATCCACTCACATCACTCAGGACATTCCCATAATTCTGATGGCATCAGTAACAGTCTGATTTTTATTTCTATCTTGCCTTTCACTTGAGTGTTGAGCGTCGGCCAGATCCCCTGGTCACTCCTTGCAGCATCAGTCTGCTCAGACCATGATGATCTTTTTGAGCCTCTGCACAGTTCACTCACTCCCAAAAGAACCCTTACACCATCTAGCATGCCATGCATCAGTTCACCACCAAGTGGTGCAGATCAGAAGCAGCCAGTTTATCTGCATGTTCGTTTCCCAAAACACTCACATGACCTGCACAGTAGAAAATAAAATACTAGAGCCTCATCACGTAATATTCCCAGAGACAGCAGAAGGTGCACCGCAGTTAACTCTTATTGTAGAGACAGTGCCAGTTTGGAGAGAAAACTCCCCATGTGGGTTCCGGGGCCCCATTGTAGGGGAAACGGGGAAAAAAGAATAGACCCACTGCCTCCCTAAAAGGTATGTCGTAAAAGTCAACTTATCAGGGGATTTCCTTTTAAAGTCAGAGTGCATTTGCCTGAGAAGCAAGGAAATAAAAGTCTGCATACAAATAAGCAAGATTTGTAAAAGGAAGGTGCAAATAAAATACAAGTTTTGGAACAAGAATAGTGTACAAAACTAGACAAGTAACCAGAACTTTTTGCCAGTTTACAGCCAGGGCATGCGAAAAAGAAGACAGAAAACAGTGTTTGGGTTTGTTAACTCTACTATGTAGGTTGGGTTCAATTTGGAAAAGTGTAGAAATATATAGGCATTGATTAAAGGACCATATCTGAGTCAAGCATATTATTGTAGGCATTGATTTAAGGACCATATCTGAGTCACGCATATTATTGTAGGCATTGATTTAAGGACCATATCTGAGTCAAGCATATTATTGTAGGCATTGATTGAAGGATTGTAGTTCAGAAGAATCGTGTAGTATTAGCATTGAGTATTATATGCAAGATTATATTTGAGGCAAGAATGGATTGCATATAAAATTGCAATATTTGTGTGTTTATGAGAGGGATTCAGAATATGAGTGAGATAAATCTCTCTCTGAATGTGAGTAAGATGAATCTCTCTCTTTCTCTCTCTCTTTCTCTTTCTCTCTCACACACACACACAAACCAGTTTCAACCCTACTCTACGTATATGCACATGCATGCATTGATTTTCTTTATAACTGTCATTTTGAATAAACAGGCCACACCAAGCACGAGAAACGCTCAGAGTAATGCTAGAACTGCAGCGGACGAAGAGAACAGAAATCGCACAGAAATTTCAAGAACATTATGACAAGGTAAGCTATAATTGAGAAGCAGCTGACTGGTCTTTTCTCTCAAGTTCCAGATATAGATAATCAGTACCACACAGGATCAATCCTAGAAAAATGTGAGGTGATGTGTATGTTAGTATAAGAAATGCGGCAGAAGAAAAAAAACCGAGAAGAAAGTCACAAGTGAAGAACTAAGAAAAATGGTAGGCATCGAACCGGTAAATGATTTTATAGAACATCAAAGAATCAAATGGTTTGGTCATCTGGTCAGAGTGGGACAAAATCAGCCAGCGGCTAGAGCATACTACCATTACAAGTCTTGAGGGCTGAACAAGAAAGCGATGGGTGGAGGGAATAAAAGACAGTACAGAAATGCAATATGACGTTAACACAAGCTATGCAACTGGCAAAAGACAGGAAACAGCATCTGGCTCCTCCCTGCATCGCTTTGCAGCATAAAGAGTAGGATAAAAGAAGAATATAGATTTACTCTTTTTAGTATGACTTTTAAAAAACTATGGGGTTCAAGACAGACCTTCAAAAGTAATAGGGGTCCATGGGTCTTATCTAATTGGGAACCACTGATGCAAGGAGTTACATTCTTCTTCTTCTTCAGTTTGCCCAAAATAGATTATCTATATCTGCAGTGTTGTCTCTAGTATGGACTTCACAATCTTTTGTAATTCACGCAGCGACCTGTAAAGCTTGGCCAGTGTTTCTCTTGGCCAGAAATTTTACTTTGAACTCGGGCCTGTTGTAAATTACTTCTTTAAAATTGTTATATACTTCTTCCCGTTCACCGCATTTAAACTCTGGTGGAAAGTTCCGGTTGTTCATCCACCTCTGGATTTTTGACTTGTTCCAGAACCTGAGTATTATGTGCACATCCATTTTACAGATCTGACTTATTTACATGCAGACAGTTGGTTCCTTGCCTCTCAGGCAGATGCACTCCGACTTCAAAGGAAGCCCCCAGTTAGTCTACTCTTACGACATGCTTGTTGGGGAGACAGTGGGTCTTTTCTTGTTTTCCCATCACCGAGGCCCGGAACGCACACAGGGATTTCTAATTGATTGAGGAACTCCTCTTGTGGGTTTTATCTGGTGGGGGGGGGGACTAGACCCAGTGTTGAGTGTTGAGCTAAGAACTGACATCACAGCACTCCCATGAGCGCTCTGTCCTCAATGTCAGCAGCCAGCGAAGATTTCCAGTTCAGATGGGGCCAGTAGCAGTTTGACTATATGTCTCTCTTGCCTTTTCAATGAGTGCAGAGTGTCGACCGGATCCCCTGGTCACTCCTAGCTATACCGTTCTCTCCAGACCATAATGATCTTTTTATGCCTCCGAATTGTTCACTTGCTCCTAAAGGGCCCTTACCACATCTAGAATAGACCCATTGCCCCCCCCTAAAAGCAAGTTGTAAAAGGTGACTAATCAGGGGTGTTTCCTTCAAAGTCAAGAGTGCAACTGCTAGTTAATTTAGTCCAATTTTCAAAATGCCCTGTACACCAATAAAACCAGCACAGTTAGATAGCAGTAAACAATCTCTTTCCAACGGTACCTCATTTAGGCTTGTATGTCATTTCTGAGCTGAGATATGTAGGTTTTTGTGGAGATGAGATGTAAAAAACAGCTGTTAAAACGTGCGTCCCAGAAACAAGAAGTTTTCTCTGCGCAACCAAACTGCGCACTTTCGTTTTGGCTTCGTTTACATTGGAGATTAGAGCGTGTAGTCATAGCGATTGCCTGAATAATGTCACTGTAAATCTAAAAAGCCACTGATAAGAATGAAATTTTATATACAAATGTAAAATTGGACGGAGAATTCAATTATAACTAGCATTACCATGTCTAGTAACAGCTAAAGCCTAACACCAACCTTGAATACTTACCAAATTTTCAATCAAACTGATGTAACAGAAAAACAGAGCAATTCAGGCTGTCGTAAACTTGTGCCTGTAATCGGGTTCGTTCCCTCCGTTTTCAGCTATTTATAGCTAGTCCAAATTCACACCAATCGCAAAATTTCATAAGAGATTTGGACCCATCCCGAAACCAGCCGACATTTTCCGAACAAGTTTCTAACGGTTTCCGGGTAACGGAAATTGCCGAAAAGACCGCAAATTGCCGAACACCGTAGTCGCTAGCATCTGCCTAAGATGCAAGACACTAACAGTCTACAAACAAATAAGCCATATCTGTAAAACGGATATGCATGCACAACTCAAGTCTGGAACAAGACCAAAGTCCAGAAGTGGCCAAAAGGCCAGACTTTTCGCAGGAGTTACGGCTGGTGATCACTAAGAAGAAGTGAGGAGTTTAAGGAACTGTTCTTTTTTTTCCACAGGTGCTGGACCTGATTCATTCAGCTATTAATGCTATTCCGGAGGACGTGACCATCGATTCCACACTTCTGACAGAAAGCGAGACTCTGGGACAAGCAGAGGACATTAAATCTGAGGCTATGGACATGGAGGCTTGTGATAGTCTAGACACAATGATGTGTAAAATTGTGGATGAAATGACGTGATTGTGTTGTTGGTTTATATAAGTGGTGTGTCAGTGAAGTTATGTGAATGTTGTGTTTTATTTTATAGAAATAATGTTTAAAATTGTGAATGAAATTACACAAATGATGGTTTATATAAATGACATGATTGTGAGTTGGTTTAGATAAATGATGTGTAAAAATGTGGATGTAATGAAGTGATTGTTTAACTAAATGGTGTTTAAAATTGTTGATGATATGATGTGAAAGGGATGGTTTAATCAAGTTATTTGAAAAAGTGTCAATGAACTTATGTGAATGTGAAAGTTTAGGTAAATGAAGTGTAAAATAATGGGTGAAATGGCATGTGTTTAATTGTTTGGAAATGAGATGTAAATGTGACAGTGAACTGATCCCAGAGGCAGCGAACAGCCAGTCTGTCAGACTGCTTATTACCACACACAGCCAAATATCCTGGGCAAAGTTTGCAAGATATGCATCTGATCTGAGTCATGCTAGGTGATGCAAGCCACTTTGAGTATAAGAGACAATAATAAGAAGAAGAAGAACTCCACTGCGGGAGCATGTACAGCAGGAGCTGCTGATCATCAGTAGGTGGGTCCCTCGACAATTGTTACGGCCCATTATCCTCCTAGACAATCTCAGAGGGCAGGCCGACCTGGGTCATGTCTCCCAGGCCTTAGACTCTCCTGCTGAGCTTATCTGACATTGGTACAAGGCGATACAAGCCACAAGTGTATAAGAGACAATAAGAAGAAGAACTCCACTGCCGCAGCATGTACAGCAGGAGCTGCTGATCATCAGTAGGTGGGGCCCTCGACAATTGTTACGGCCCATTATCCTCCTAGACAGAGGGCGGGCCGACCTGGGTCATGTCTCCCAGGCCTTGGACTCTCCTGCTGAGCTTATCCAACATTGGGACAGGGTGATACAAGCCACTCTGAGTATAAGAGACACATTTCTATTTTCTTAAGCATGCTGTGTGAGTTTTTGTGATTTATTTTAACAAAGTGGAGAATTATAAATAAAATTGGAGGGAAAAAAGATTCTGAGAAGAAATAAATAGAAAAAAAAAAGTTACAATTCACAGCTACATTTGAATTGGTAGATACAATTTGATTTGGCGTACGAACAGTCATGTTTAATCGTTGTTGAAATTGTACTTCAGTTATAAAGGATTCACTTATTTGCTTCATTTATGTAATTGTTACTGTAGTATGCACCTGACGAGATACAGTGAAATATGCCAGGCAATAAATTGTGCAATCTATTGTTTGTGTCTTCTTTGTTCAAAAAGTACATTGTTGGTATTTCTTTTCTTCTTGGTACAAATTCATTGGGGACAAAGTCACGCCATGATAGACCAAGTGTCTCATACAGCGCATGTGGAGTCTTTGTTTCTTCTTAAAGATCACTGAGCCCAGGTTTTATTGCCATAAAGGAATGAGCTTAGGGCTGGAGCTTTATAAACTTTGATTTTGATCTTATCTGATACCTTTTTGTTTGACCACATGTGATCCAAGTATAAAATGTATGAACAGCTTTATATTTCAATGATCTGCTTCAAATTTGTGAAACCAAATGAAACAAATGTACACAGATGGCTAGCAAAGAGAACAGATTTTTATATTTCAAATAATTCATTTTCATTTGTCTTCAAAACATACACAGGCATCCTACACAATGTCTAAAACTATTTGAAATATTCTACTCCCATAAATTTCACAGATTTTATTTTGTTAGTGTTTTGGGGATATTTTCATCCTGTTATACAAGTGTTTTGGAAAATGAACAGGCAGACAGGATGGCTGATTTTCCACCACTTAGTGGTAAATTTATGCATGGCAGGCTAGATATTATCAAGTATAAGTGACTGAACAGCGCAGAGGCACAAAACAGATAATCACAGTCTGAAGAGAACTGTGCAGCAGGGAGTGATCAGGGGATGTGGCTGACACTTGGCATTCAGGGAAAAGGCAAGATATGCATACAATCCATTTTGCTTTAGGTGCCACTGGAATTTGAACTTTGTGTTGGTGGAAGATTGAAACAAAGTGCTTATGAGAATATCCTGAGTGCTATTATATTGGTCTTAACTCAACTAATTCCAATAAGCTTGCAGAAGCTATCTAAAAATAAAACATACGTAAATATTTGAAATATGCAATCTTTATAAGCTACCTAACAACAGAAAATATCAAAAACTATTTCAAATTTTCTATTCTATAATAAGGCCTACAGAGTGACTAGCAACAGTTGATTTTAAAAACCAAGTTCTCGTGTCCATTCCTTCTCATAACATGACAGAAAAACATGCCACCAAGTTCTCATGTTCATTCATTCTCATAACATGACAGAAAAACATGCCATAAAGTTCTCATATCCATTCATTCTCATAACATGACAGTAAAACATGCCACCAAGTTCTTGCGTCCTTTCCTTCTTATAAGATCTCAGAAAAACACTGTACCTCTCAATACCTCAGAGTAACAAGTGCCTATGAAGAAGTAAAGAATTACTACAAAGGGAAATTAATATAAACAGACCTCTTCTTCTGTGGAATATCAGCCCTCAGCCAGCCTATCCTTTGCTATCGCATGGAGCTCACATCCATGTCCTCCATCTTTTCACCTAATTCTTGCTTTTCTCTGTGTATGTGTGTTTTTGTTTTTGGTTTGCCTTTATTTCATTGGGTTGCAGTGCAGGGACATTCTAGTTATATTGTTGTCAGTGTGTGTCCTATCCAACACCACCATCTTTCCTCATCACTTGATTCGATAGATTTTACTTTGTTCTCTCCCAAAGCTTGACATTGGTGATTCTGTTACACCCCTCTTGTATTTATATTGCTATCAGGTATTATCAGTGTGTCTCCTATCCAACATCAGCATCTTTTCCTCACCTCTTGATTCACTGGAATTTTTTTAGTTCTCTCCCAAAGCTCTACATTAGTGATTCAGTCATAACCATCTTTTTCCTTCCATTCTGGGCAGGCACCAGTTAATTAATTTTCTGGGTTTATTAATACCATAAATTGCAGAACATAAGTTGATTTCTCAAGCCTAAACAGTATTTCCCTAACTTACATAATGAGTATAAAATGCATTAAGTAGATATAAGCCTAATTCAGAAATCTGAGCCAAACATCTTCAGGTCCACTTGTATACCAGGTCATGTATGCCAGGATTTGCTGCAATTTACAGATTTACAGAAATTATCCTAGTGGGCCTCCATGTGCAGCTCTCAATACCTCTGTGTAATCAGTGGCTGTGAGCAAGTCAATGAATACGACAAACAAATGAATAAACCTAAACTGGCAGACTTAAATATCAGCGGGCGGAACTGTGATGAGTCCAGTTGTCCTGAAGACGTCAATACCCTTGTGTAGCACACATACTCTAGCATAGCAAAGTCGCACTAGCTCATTGGCAAACTGGCAGAAAGGGAACACATAACACAATTAATGAGTTTAGTTTGTAACGTGTTAAGTTGTAAGGTTGTGTGAATTCAGAAGTAAGAGTGTATTCAGCAAGAATGGACGTTTGAGAGGAAAAGTCTGATGTGCGCACAATCATATTCTGCTGGAAACGATCAGCATCCGCACCATAACCCTTTTGCCATGTAAAAATCTTAAAAACAACTTTTTTCAAATTTTGTTTTAAACAAAAATGTCATCCTTTTAAATCTTCTGAAACTCTATGCTAAGGGGAATTAACTAAGGTTTTTAACCTAGAAAGAACATTGATAAAAGTGGCCAGAGATGCCCTCCATAATACTGACAGAATTGGACAGGACAGAATGGAACAGAGGAATCAAATTAGAGCCTCTAGGATGTATAAAAAACATACAGGATGATGATGAAGACAGTAGTAAATTAACAATAATATAAATAAAAAAAAATATATATATATTAAAAGAAGCAACTCACATTGGGACTAGTTATCAATCAAGATAAGACAGAATACATGATAATAAACAGGACATGGAAAGGATATAAATTCCGACCACATATAAGTCGATAATATGAAAATAAATAAATAAAAGCTTAAAAATACTTGGGTGCAAACTTCAACTGCTCCAACATGCTGAGAGAAGAAATACGATCTAGAATACAATCTGGAATTAAAGTTTACTATACCCTTCAACATCTGCTAAGTCAAAGTCCCTATCTCGCAACATCAAGATTAAAATATATAAAACGTTGATAAGACCAGTTGTTTTATGTGGCTCTGAAACTTGAAGCACTACTAAAAGAGATGAAGCCTTATTACAAATATGTGAAAAGTCTTATGACGAATCTTTGGACCATCAAACATGCAAACAGTGGGGAATGGAGAGTGAGAAGCAACAATAAAATGCATAATCTGTTTAAATCACCACTGGTCATTGGCATCAAGAGAGCTAGTAGACTGAAATGGCTGGGGCATATTAAGAAAATATCAGATGACAAGAGAGGTAAAAAAAACTGTTTACACAAGGGAGCTGAATGGTCATAGAGCAGGAGGCAGATCAAGATGATGAGAGATAATATCCCTACAGACCTACAAACACTTGGCGTCACCAACTGGAAAGAGAAAGCAAATCAGAGAGAGATGATTGGAGATGGGTGGTATCTGCTGCAATGAACCTCAAGTGCTCGGAATGCTGAAGAAGAAGATTATAAATAAAACAATAAAACAATTATTACTGCTTGGTTGTAGAACTTGTGTATATGACAAAGAAGTGTATGTATTGTCACCTGAAATGTTTTCACTGTACAGTGAATATATAATGAGATCTATCATGAATATTCCAGGAATTGTGGTTGGCTGTCGTAACATAAATGGCCTAGGCTGTGCTGACGACACAGTCTTGATAGCGACAAGTAGAAAGAACTACAGGGATTGATAGATACAGTGGCAGTAAAGCGTGATAAAATGATGATAGGTCTCAGTTTTGATAGCAGGAAGACAGAAGTTATAGTAATATCAACAAAACGAAACAAAAACAATAGTGCCTCAATGTATAATGGCATGAAGGTGTGTCAGCACATGAACTGATACATGCTGCTGAAGATCGCAGATTGTGAACAGGCATGATTACCCATGTCAGTCGGCAAGGCACTTGGTGGTGAAGTAACACTTGTTAGGATTTTGGAGTCTAGAACATGAGAATTTAGAGCTGCATGTGTAGTGCAAGTGCCACAAACTGTGCACATTGTTGTCATAAATAATAACAAAAGTATTATTTGGTCAAGTGGTGAGAAGAGAAGCATTAGAGAACATTGTACCAAATGAAATACAGTAGAACTAAGCAGGAGCCACCCACATGCAGAATTCATAAGTTAGGTCCTCGTCTGCGCATCAGAAGTTCACAGGTTCAGGTTCTAAAGAAGTTGGACTCGATATCGTTACCATTTAATTTCGTCCTTTTTAGGACGAAATTTTTTGTTATTTGAAGCCCCACCCTGGCTTTTGCCAGGGGCCGCAATATAGGCAGGCCATAAATATGGCCAAATGTCTTAACGCGGTTTCTGGGACCTCTCCACGGCGATCCTCATCCGCATGGTGGCACTTTGTGTCATCGGGTGTTTGTCGCTTGTGTGATGTCCTGGTGGGGTAGAAAGTCAGTCAGTCAGAAGTTGGACTTTAAATTAAAAAAAATTACCTTCCAGGTCAACCCAGCCTTAAGTGGGTACCAGGTAAGGTCCTGGGAAGTAAAGGGCGGCAGATGTGATGTTGACCACATCCTCCACTGAGTGCTGAGTGATCTATAAATGTAGGTCTGGCTCTATGTGCCCAATATGCCCAAAGACATGGAAAAAGGTCCTTTACTTTACCTGCTTAGTGAAACAAACAAATTCCTTTTTGTCCTTAAAAGGGCAGATGACATGTTGTGTTGTGGTAGGATCAACCCTACCATGACACAAACGAACTTAATTTTCAAAGGGTCACAAATTGGGCACACAGGCCCATCTTACATTCGGCCCTTCCAAACACTCATTCTTCATAAAGTAATAATGTTTTATCAATAAAACATGTTATTTTCATATAACAGTATGTGTAATATGAATATCAAGGAAAAAACACAAAAGCACGGATGGTAAATGCATGCACACATGACCACTACACACCCACTCACTTATACACATACATACAAAATAGATACACAGGGCTGAGTGGTCTCGAGGCATGGCATCCACCTCGAGTGCTGGAGATTCCGGGTTCAGGCCCTGGTGAAGGCTGGGATTTTTTCATGTTGACTTCTAGTAATTTCCTCTGGTCTCTGGGTAGTAAGATTGGATGCCCATGTGTATTGTTAGCAGTTGGAAACGTAACGGTATTGCCCAGACAAAATTTAGAGTAAAAAATCTACCTAAAGTATTCATGATCCTCGCCGATGCTATGGAGTTCATGCATTGCGCTGAAATTCTTCAGACTCAGGCTCGAGTTAGAAGTAGAACGGAGCACTTATGGGTTATTACCCTAGCACCATGATGTTTATACATTGTTTAAACCTTAAACATATCCATCCATCCATCCATCCATACATACATACATACATACATACATACATACATACATACATACATACATACATACATACATACATACATACATACATACATACATACATACATACATACATACATACATACATACATACAAACATACATACATACATACATACATACATACAGACATACATACATACATACACACATACCCACCTACCTACACACATAACTAGACAGTGGTTAAAACAAAATGTCTTCATTAGTCGGGTCTGTCATCCACCGTAATTCAACACTCATAACTAACATAACTAAATCCACACTCCACATCTGGAAACATTTCTGCATTGGCCTTTAAAATGGCAGTTAGCATGTTCTGGTTGCGGTTTACAGCTAGGCTGTAATATCTTCACCTATTGCCCAAAACATCCTATTTCAGCAAACTATAATGAATCACTTTTTATGCTGATATGGTTGTTAAGGCGGCAGTGGGTCTGTTTTTTTTCTCTCCCTGCAACATGGAGCCCAAGAACCCACACGGGAAACTGACATTACTGACGCTATAAACAAGAAAGTAACTCACGTTTGCAGCATTACGTCCCCTGTTGCCGACGACAACAATGACCTGGTTTCTCCGAGCATTCAGGGCCTGCACTGCAGGGCATGGGTTCAATTCTCCTTCTGGTGAAAATGCTGTTTGAAATGGAATATTGATGCTTCCTTGGAGGGTTCCTCTTCTATAGCTGTGTTACTGTGTAAGGATTTTTAAACACAAAATCAACATCATCAAATGCTCTGCCGACTGGCATGGGTGAACATGCCTCTTCACAATCTGTGATTTTTAACAGAATGAATCGGTTCATGTGCTGAAAAAAAGAAGGCTGTAAAGAATCCTACTGTGCTGTCCTCCTCGGTCTTATTACATCCACAGATTTTTCTGGTTACTGCAATATCTTCTAGTTCCCTTCTTATAACATGACCCAAAAATTATTACTGTCTCTTTCTGATGTTTGTGATAAGTCGTTGCCTCCGAACCCTCACCTCTTTCAAAACAGCTGGACTGCTCTTTTCTAGCTGTCCACTGAAGTCTAAAGATTCCTATGTAAACATGACAGATCTAGGACCTCAAGAAATTGTTTGGCTTGTTTATTAACTGTTTAGGTTTTGCAGCTATGTGTTGAAACTGACTCTATAAAGCATGTGATAATTCTTTTGCTAACACCAAATCTAAGACTGTTTTCATGTCATGTGGCATCTTGCTAGATATGTTTAAAAAAAAATGAGGAGGCTTAGAGGATAGTGAAACCTTTTCACAATATGATCCTCAACGCTTACCAAGGTTCAGTTCGTGATGGTGGGCAGTTTAGAAAATTACTGTTCATAGGGCTTTCGGGCAGCGATATTAGAATCCTAGTGAAAGAGATTCGGACCTTCCTAAAGTCTATGCCTTGTGGCATAGTTGGTAGTCATGTCTATTCATAACCTTCTGTCTCGTGTACTTTCAATCAACTCTGACCCAGATGATCCTCTATGCCATGATGTCAGACTGTCCAGTAACTTTTCTCCCAGTCTCCCTCTGCCTCTCCTCCCCTCCAACTTTCTTGTTGTCACAATGTACTCCAGTTTTCTCCTTCTCGACACATGACCAAAGAATAAAGATTGTCTCTTTCTGATGTTGGCAATCAGCTGTCTTTGTGGGTCAGTTTCCTTCAAGATATCTTCATTACTATTTCTATCTGTCCAGGGCATTCTCATCATTCATCAATAAAACCTCATCTATGCAACTTCTAAATACATTTTCACAAATTTACCAACTTTCCATGATTCACTTTCATATATCAAGATAGGATTTATAAAGCTTTTAAGAATCTTGGGACCTTACCCCATAATAATTCCAAATACAGCAATAGATGCACAATTCAGAAGAATCCTTAAAATTCCATGGACAGCCAAGAAGAGCAACCCAGATGTTCTGAAAGAGGTGCAGTTCAAAGACAACTCAAGACAAACATAAGAAAGAGACAGTCATCCTTTTATAGTCATTTTATGAGAAGAAGAATGCTGGAACATGTTGTGACTACCGGAAAGTTATGTGGAAAAAGAGACAGGAAGACAATGCAAGAAGATTCTTGACTATCTTTTGTCATGAAACTGAAGGTTATCAGCACATGAACTGATACATGCTGTTGAAGATGGCAGACTGTGGGGAGACATGATCGCCCATGCCAGTCAGCAAGGCACTTGATTATGGATGCATATATCCACTGCTAACTAACCTCCGTTGTGGAGACGATCTTCTTCTTCTCTACTTCGTCTTTTACTGCTTTAGGCATCGAATAAGAATAAGAAGAAACTCTACAGGGGAGCATGTACAGCAGGAGTCTACCAATCATCAGTAGAAGTGATCCCTCATCAACAAATGTTTCGGCCCACGAGCTCCTACAAGAATATAAAGTACCACTTCTTGCTACTGTGATGGTCTACACTCTACACACTCCCCCCCCCCCCCCCCCCCCCCCCCCCCCCCCCCCCCCCCCCCCCCCCACCACCACCCCTTGCAAAAAAAAAATATTTAAAAATGTATTTTTTTATTTCACATACACTTGTCATCTTGTCAATATCTTTGATACAAACTGCAAAGTTAAAGGATACTCTTCGTACAGCCGGACATCGACAATCAATATCATAGGCTTGCTGTTCTGTCTCTTTTTTGTAGGGCTGCGGGAGTAAGCTGCCCCTGCCAGTTCCCCTAACTCTATCAAATCTTCTGCAGAAATCCTGGGGCACTTCTCTCCTTTTAACTCCTCTAGTGGGATCGGCTCCATCGACTGCAAACAGAGGAAGAAAAAACAAATACAATAGAAAAACAATCTGTAATTCAGTATGGTATGACACACACAGACATGTACACACATGCATGCACGCAGGTGCACATATATACAGAAAATACAATGAGAAAATCTGTAATTCAGTAGGCTATAAGCCCCGTTTGAATTCCCAGGGCCCCATGGTGGGGGAAAACAAGAATAGACCAACTGACTGCCTAAAAGCAAGTCCTAAAAGTCGACTAGTTGGGAGCTTCCTTCAAAGTCAGAGTGCATCTACCTGAGAGGCAGTGAACCAACAGTCTGCATGCAGATGAGTCAGACCTGTGAAACGGATGTACACGCAACACACAGGTTCTGGAACAGGACTGGAGTCTAGAAGTGGACAAACAACCGGAACTTTCTGCCCGAGTTTGCAGCCGAAGAAGAAAAAGAAGTAGGCTCTGTCACACACACCCACACGTGCGCACACACACCCACAAACACTTATACTGAAAATGCAATAAGCAAACAATCTGTAATTCAGTCTGCCATGACACACATGTGAGCACACCCATTCCTATTTACACACATACACAAACAAAATGGAAATACAGTAGGAAAACAGTTTGTAATTTAGTATATTATGAGAGAGAGAGATACACATACACACAAAAACACACACGCAGAAATGCCAGTATAATATTGAAACAGACACAAAATGTTTTAAATACTGTGATGACATTTGAAATGAATCAAACAGCTGTGAATCCTTTAGCGAACAACACAGAATAAAATCCCAGCATTTTCTGACTTTTTATGATTTTACTATGCAATTTCACATTCAGTAGTTTGCCACTGTTTTCGGAATGGCTGGTTCTCAATACCACTGTCGAAATTAACACAAAAGTTGCCTGCTTCCAAAATGCTGACAGTTGGAATTGAAGAAGGTATCTATGAATTGGAATTGAAAATAGTATCAATGAACTGACATTGAAAAAAGGTATCTATGAATTAGAATTGAAAAAGGTTTCAATGAACTGACTTTGAAAAAAGGTATCTGTGAATTAGAATTGAAAAAGGGGCTATCCTCCGAACAACGGGTACAAACGATGGCGGCCGCAATAACATCCTAACAGGGCCTCAGTCACGTGCCAATTGCGCACTTCCGGCGACTTAATTTGCGGTTTTCCGGTGACTACCGCCACTGCCAAGTTCCACACGCCGCTCATGCGGCGTGGATTGGGGCGAAATTAGATGGCTAGGACTCACGAGCAAAGCTGCAGGAGATGTGGAAGCTGCTGCTCGTGAGTCATAGTTCTGTTAGGATGTTTTTGCGGCCGCCATCTTTTGTGCCCGTTATTTGGAGGATAGCCAAAAAAGGTATCTAGGAATTGGAACTGAAAAATGTATCTATGAATTGGAATTGAACAAATATATCTATGAATTATCCCAGCTGTGGGCAATGCACCTTGCATTGGTTTCGACAGTGGTATCAAGAAAGCCGACCGTCCAGAAAGCAATAGCAAACTACTGGATGTAAATTGCCTAGAGAAACCAGACAACAGCCAGGGGCTGTTAAGGTTGGTTCTGCAACGTCCTGTAAAGGATACGCAACTTTAAAAAAAGAAGTCTATGAATTACAAACCACATGTGCAACACCTAAGCCACAGTTGCTGGCATAAAACAACAGATCAATATTTAAATGTACAGTAAGTAAAGGACCCAGTTCCATGTAATAAAGCCTGGACACTGTCTTCAGAAGACAGAAGGAAAACAGCCATGACAGAAATGAAATGTTTACGTAGCTGTGCTAAGTGTCACCGGGAAAGATCGACTTACGAATGATGATATCAGGAGGAGAGTCGGCACAGAGCCAGTTGTGAACCTTAGCAGTAGACAATAGATCAAATTGTTTGGCCCTGTAACAAAACTGGCAACAGACAGGGCACCACAGAGAGCAATGATACACAGATACAATGGTTAAAAGTCCCAGAGGTCGACCATGCAAAAGATGTGCCGCAGAAATATCAAAGACATTGAAATGTACGACGTGAACAGAGAACTTGTCCTGCCCTGACGCTGCACGGAATTCCCCGAGTAGAGGAAAGAAGAAAAATAATGCCTCTTGGATATATGGTACTAGCCTGATTAAAAAAAAAAATCTGCACTCCATGTGTAATGTGGTCAATATTCAACCAGCCACCTTCGCTTCTCTTAACATTTCCTACTACCAATTTGAGGGTTGGTTGACCTAGGAACCAAATGAATTTAAACAAAAAATGGTTGTCTTGAGTATAAGTTGCAGAGCACAAAGGTATCAAGTAATAGTAGTCAAGGTGCTAACACACTGCCCGATTTTGGCATAAGGTAACTCTGCAGGGACCTAACAAAAAAATTCATATTTTGTGTTTTTTTAGAAATGCAATTTTTTTTCAATACAACCATTAAGATAATATAATTTGTATTTTTTTGCAGTCACATTCTTTATTAATTATTTTTACTAAAAATTGGACAACAGTATATTTTCATCATCCATATAGACTATTTAAAAGGTGAATGTATGTGTGTGTTAACCATTGAGATAATATAATTTATATTTTTTTGCAGTCACATTTCTCCTCTTCTTTCTCCAAGATATTCTGAGAATCTCTCTACAGCATTTCACTCAAAAGCCCCTATTCTCTATCTTAAGGACTGGGAGATGATAGTCCACGACTCACATCAGTATGTTGCTATAGGGAAAATGCATGCTCTCAAAATTATAATATTGATCTCCTTGATGGTGCTTCACCATAGACTTTTAATGCCTGCTGTTTAATCTTTGCATTGCTATGGCCATTCTCCTTTTAATTTCTGTCAAACAGTAAAAAACAGTAGGGGCCTCATATAGCTTAAAAACATTGTGTATCCTTTACAGGACTTGCAGAACCAACCCCAGAATTTATTGCCTGTTGTGGGTTTTCTAAGCATATTTTACGTTCAGTAGTTTGCCACTGCTTTCTGCACGGTCAGCTCTCAGTACCAGTGTTTGAACCAGTGCAAGACAAATCATCCGCAGCAGGAATCAAACCTGGCACCCCGACATTACGAAGCACGTTGGCAACGCCTAAGCCACAGACACCGACTTATACTGCTTAGGACCTCATACAGTGTACATCTGTGTAAATGTCACTGCAGACGAGCCACCCCACAGATGCTCCGGTCCTGGGCCAGTGAAAATCACATGAAATGTCCATCACTGTCCCATCTGAAAACTAGTGAACAAACAATTAATCCCAGCAAAATCCAGAGCCATACACACACAGTCAATACATAAGGCTGCTGCTAGATATGCTAACACCAATAGTCGCCACCAGAATTGCCATATGTCGCTGATGGAAGTAAGTAGTTTGTTATGATGAGCTGGCCATACACAAGCAAAATTATTGCATATGGTATTTCGCCAGCCCAAACATAAGACAACTACTCATCATTTTCCTATTAACACGACCCAACTGCTGGGAAACAAATAAAAGACATTCACATGAAAAACACGGCACATCACAGTGCTGCACCAAGCACTTAACTCAGTAGCTTAGGCATCAAAACCATAGACTCTAGATGTAGGTGGAAACTGCAATAGCAAATCATTGCCAGAAGCAAAAATAACTTCCACACTAAAGGGACTGCCTGCATATCCACCATACTGGATCAGAAGGTCACAAAGGTGCTACTAAAGATGCAGCAAATGCGATTAATTTACAGTCAGGTCCAGTACCAGTTGTTGCTTTTTAAGCTTGGAGAAGTAAAGGAGAACACATTCCCCATTGAGACTCTGGCAATGTGCTCTCAGTTAAGCCTGTTTTGTTGTATTTTTAAGCTCTCTGTCTTCAGAGGATTGAAAACCAACCAATCAAGCTATCAACCAAACAAACAACCAGAAAGAAAAAACAGCAGAAGAAGAGAGAGTGTAATGTAGTCATACCAGATCAGTTTGAGGCAGGTCATGGTAGTCTATGCTGTAGTAGGACAAGTTGGGCCGATCTTCCGCTGCTTTGGGTTTGACTGGTCTTGCATGCTGTCTGTAGGTGGCACTCTTTGGTGTGCTGCAGAAGATCTTGATGGAATCTTGGACGCACCTTTCTATGTCAATCTCTGGTGAGAAGGCAATTTTCAAAAATATTTGCTTAAATAAAATCATTTTAATTTTTATCTTTTAACACCAGTGGCTCATGGAGCACGTGATGCTGGACTCGTAATTTTGTAGACCAATCAAGGTATGGATGGGGGGGGGGGGGGGGGGGCAGGGTGGGGGTCAACATCACACGGGCCACTTTACTTCTCAGGACACTGCTTGGGGGTGGATTTAAGGCAGGGTCAGCTGGGAAGCCAAGGTCAATTTGGTTTAAAGTCTGACTCGATGATGATTTTAAAGCAAAACCTTCGAGTTGGCTGGTGAGCATTAACTATTATGTTTCCATGGTTCCCCATCCATAACACCACTACTTTTCATTTATTGATAATATAACTGTGTAAATAACATACCTGTCCCTGTATCATTCTGGTAACAAATCATAACTTCTTCTTCTCTTCTTCTGCCTTTTTATACCCCAATGGAGCATAGACCCTCAACCAACTCACGCCAAGTCGTTCTATCCTTCGCCATTACATGGAGCTCTACCCATGTCCTCCCAATCTTTCTAACCTCATTCTCCAGCTCTCTTCTCCATGTGTTTTTTGGCCTTCCTTTATTCCTATGCCCCTGTGGGTTCCAATGCAAAGACATTCTAGTTATGCTGTTCTCCTGTTTTCTCAGTGTGTGCCCTATCCAACGCCAGCGTCTTTTCCTCACCTCCTGATCCACTAGAGCCTGTTTAGTTCTCTCCCAAAGTTCTACATTAGTTATTCTATCATACCATTTTATTCCCTCTATTCTGCACAGGCACCAGTCAATGAATGTCTGTAATTTATTAGTAATTGCCTTCGTTGTTCTCCATGTTTCCGCCCCATACAATAGTACTGATTTGACATTAGAATTGAAAATTTTTAGTTTAGTATTTATTTTAATTTCTTTTGACCTCCACAAATTCCCTAGTGCTATGAAAGCTCCTCTTGCCTTTTGTATTCTTATTTTAATATCTCTATCAGTTCCTCCATCTTTATCTACATTACTGCCCAAATAAGTGTACGACTCCACGTCTTGGAGTGGGGTGCCATTAAGAGAAACCACATTACTATTTGCCTGATTTATTCTCATTATCTTTGTCTTTCCTTTATGGATTTTAAGACCAAGCTGCTGTGATCTCGCATTAAGTATATTTAATTTATCTTGTATCTGATTCCGTGAATGGGACAGAAGGGCAATATCATCAGCGAAGTCCAGATCATCAAGCTGTTTTGTAGGGGTCCACTGAATTCCATTCTTGGTGTTAGCAGTTACTGTTTTCATAGTCCAGTCTATAGCCAGTAAAAATAGTAGAGGCGACAAAAGACATCCCTGTCGCACACCTGTTTTTATTTCAAATGCATCTGTTAGCTTTCTCTCATGAAGAACTCGACATTTCATGTCTTTATATGTTGCCTTTACTAAGTTGATAATTTTCTGTGGGATTCCATAGTGCCCCATCAATTTCCAGAGAGATTCCCTATCAAAGCTGTCAAATGCTTTTTCATAGTCTATAAATCCAATGTAAAGTGGTGAGTTCAGTTCAATGCTTTGCTCTATTATAATACGTAATGTGGCTATCTGATCAGTACAGGATCTTTTTGACCGAAAACCTGCCTGCTCATCTCTTAGCATTTTATCAATAGCATCTTTTAATCTTTCCAAAATAATTCTACTTAATATTTTTCCAGGAACTGACAGCAACATAATTCCTCTATAGTTTTCACACTCCTGTAGATCACCTTTTTTGGGCAGTTTCACAAGATATCCTTCTCTCCAGTCTGCTGGTATTTCTTCGATCTCCCAGACTTTACTGAATAATCTATGTAGCAATTCTGTTGATGTGTTTATGTTGGCCCTGATGGCTTCAGCTGGGTGACGCCTTTCCTTCCTTAAGAAGATTTATAGCTTTTCTAATTTCCTCTTTGGATGGTATCTCACAGTTGATATTCAGTTCAATTTCTAAAGGCTGGATATCTGGGGGAACCTCTGGGCCTGGTCTATTTAGAAGCATTTCAAAATATTCAACCCATCTGTCCATTTGATCTTTAGTGTTAGTAAGTACCTTTCCTTGACTATTTTTGATTGATCCAGTTGGCTGACTATATTTACCTACTAATTTTCTTGTGTTACTGTAAAGTTCTCTGAGGTTTCCTTTTGCTGCTGCTGTCTCCGCTTCTCGTGCTAGATCATTTAGATATTTCACTTTATCTGCCCTTATATGCCTCCTAACTTCCTTGTTGGCTTCTGTGTAATTCTCCTGAGCTCTAGCTTTAGCAGCTCTAGTTTTGCTATTGTTTAATTCTGCCTTTTTACTTTTCCTATCTTCAATCAGTTTAATGGTTTCTGGTGTTATCCATGCTTTATGTTTCCTTTCTTTCTTGCCAAGAACTTCTACGCAAGTTTCATTCCAGATTCCTTTGATCTGATCCCAGCAGACTTCTGTGTTGACATCTTCAGCTAACTGCTGCAACACCTGGTACTTATTAGAGACCGTAACTGAGAACTGTTCCTTAATTTCTTTATCTCTGAGAAAGCCTACATTATATTGGTTTCTATGATTATAAGATGTTATATATCTTTTTAGTTTCAACTTGATTTTACTTATCACCAGGAAATGGTCAGTAAATACATCGGCACCTCTGAAAGCCCTAACATCGTAAAGGGATGATCTAAACTTTTTGCTAATACATATGTGGTCAATTTGATTAGTTGTCTTATGGTCTGGTGATTCCCATGTTGCCTTGTGTATTCTTTTATGGGGAAAAATACTTCCACCAATAACATACTGGTTACCTGCACAAAAATTTGTGAACAATTCTCCATTTTCATTCATTACTCCTAGACCATGTCTCCCCATAATTTCTTCATAACCTGTGTTGTCTGATCCTATCTTAGCATTCAAGTCACCCATCAAAATTTTTAAGTTGCCCTTTCTTTCATTATTTATAATATTTTGAAGCTGCTTGGGCGGTGGATTTAAGGCAGGGTCAGCTGGGGAGCCCAGGTCAATTTTGTTTAAAGTCTGACTCGATGATGATTTTAAAGCAAAACCTTCGAGCTGGCTGGTGAACATTAACTATTATGTTTCCATGGTTCCCTATCCATAAGACCACTACTTTTCATTTATTGATAATGTAACTGTGTAAATAACATACCTGTCCCTGTATCATTCTGGTAACAAATCATAACTGCTTGTGGGAATAGCTAGGTGACTTAAGAACCAACATCATGGCAATCAGTTCATTCCCATAAACACTCCATCTCTATCTTCAACAGCCAGTGTTGCATTCCAACTCCACTGGTACCAGTAACAGTCTGACTGTACTGGTATGTCCGTCTTTTATTTTCTTTAAGTGAGAGTGTTGGCCGATTCCCTGGTCTCTCCCTGCCTCACCATTCTGTTCAGACCATGATTATCTATTTGTGCTTGTGTCAACAACTAAGAATGCCCTGAACCAAGAAGAAAACAACACTGATATCCTGCATGAATTGAGCATCTAGGCTTAAAAACAACATCCTGTCCCAAAAGCTGAGGTATTCTGGCTATGTTGGGTGGTGTGGAGAAAGTGGTGATGAAGGGTATAGTTTCTAGTAAATGAGGCAGATGCAAACCTTCATGAAGGTGGATGCAAAAGGCTAAAAATGCATTGGCTATAAAAGCACATAGGGCTGGAGAACTGGCTAGAAAAAGAAAGACTTTCAGGCATGCTGTGATAAAAGCGATGCTCTGTAAGGACCTGTTAACTGATGATGAACAACTGAGAAACAACAATTTCTTCTTACTTTTTTCTGCACTTTACACCCCAATTAGACCTAAACCAACTCATGTCAAGCAAACCACCCTGTCCTTTACTATACCATGCTCTCATTTTGCGTCCTCCTATATTATTCACCTATGTCCCAAATTCTTATATCCAAATGTATTTTGGTCTCTGATCTATTTTGCTATAGGTCCCTGTGCAAGCACATACTAGTTACATGAATACAAATTTGTTGGTACCTTTTAGCCTTTCTAGACGATGATGTTATACTGCATTCAAGAGAGGCATTGAAATCTCAGCCACTTGAGGCTAGGAATGAAGTTCTTCCTCTTCAAAGCACAAGCATGGGCAGTACGGTACAGACTGTGTGTTGCCTATAGGTCCCTGTGCTAGCACATTCTAGTTACATTAATACACATTTGTTGGTACCTTTCAGTCTTTCCAGACAATGTTATACTGCATTCAAGAGAGGCATGGAAGTCTCAGCCACTTAAGGCTAAGAATGAAGTTCTTCCTCTTCAAAGCACAAGCATGAGCAGTACTGTACAAACTGTGTGTTGCCTATGGAACAAGATCCTCCACTCTAGGAGCCATGTTTACTTCAAAGGAATGCTAATCCAAGTTACCTGGAACCAGCCATGCTGTTTAAGCTGCTGAATCTGTCTGTCCTTCAGAGCTTCCCTCCTAGACCAGCTGCCAGCCAAGGCTAAGGACTTATTGTGCCCTGCAGTAACTGTTTTTTTCAGGCTGCATTTCCTCTTCCTAAGATAAGGCTAGTATCTTCCCAATTTGTTCCTCCCCCCAAAATGGATACAAACTATTTGCTTCATTAATGTCTTACCTGGCATATCCGAAAACAGCAAAATGCATTCATTAAAGCCAAACGATAACAGCCGGTCTCGTAACTGCTGCAGGATTGCCACTCCAATGCACAGAGGAAAAGATGAATTGCCCAGTAGCAGCGTGTCCCACAGATGTACAATTTTGTGAAGTGGGAAAACATCTGCAGAGAACATTCAACAGAAGGTAAAATCCTGCCTGAAAATATATAAATTAGCCTTTTACATTTTTTCTTCTCATAGCGGAACTCTTTAAGGGTGCAAACAACTCACTCATGAAGTACTATTTATATATTTCCTCTACTCTTTTTGTCTCTTTTCTGAAAATGTCCTCTTTAGATTTAACTTTCTCCTTCTCTTCTTTCTATTTTTTGTCAATTATCACCCTCCTTCCCCTGTGTGGGTTCTGGGGCCCCATTGTTGGGGAAAACAAGAATAGACCCACTGCCTCCCCAACAAGTATGTCAGAAAAGTCGACTCATTGGGGGTTTCCTTCAAAGTCAGAGTGCATCTGAGAGGCAAGGAACCAACCATCTGCATACAAAGTCAGATCTGTAAAATGGATGTGCACACAACAGTCAGATTCTGGAAGAAAGTCCAGAGATGGAGGAACAACTAGAACTTTCCATCAGAGTTAACAGCCAGTGAACGCGAAGAAGACCACCCTCCTTTAAACAATTTTCTGTCCTTGGTAACACGCTGTGTGTCTGTGGCAGATCTTGGCTTGTCACAACCAGTGTGATTTATGGGACTAATTCTGGGCTGGCTGGTTTGTGAAAGATCCCTGTTATTAGTGATTAGTGAAGATTATCATCACAGCACTCCAGACAGATCCGTTGGTGCTATGACCTCCTCTTCAAAAGCTCCACAAGCATAAAATGACTGATGAGACCTGTTCTGTGTTTAATAATCAAAAGCCTTGTATCCTTGGTGAAATGTTTATTTCTTGCAGGTCCAGGTTTCACCCCCATGTCCATGAGCCTAGATAGAGATATGAAATCATGCCCTTTGGCCTATACACCTTCATAGTAAGTGCTTTGCCTGGCATTGATAACATCACTTCTGTCCAGTACTGGACCATAAAGACTGCAGTGTCTGCCATGTAATGTACTTGCTCATTGTCTTGAACACCCACATGACCATTCACAAAGATTATAATTAGGACAGCCATTCACAAATTGCTTGGTGACAAAATCCATTTTTCTCTGCTGAGCCCAGCTTGTTTGTATTTACTACATCCTTAAGTATGCATGTGTATGTGAGCGCTTGAGTACCCAGCCACGCTAATGCCCTTGTTATAGCCACAGTTTCCATTGTGAGGCTGCTTGTTTAACAGCAAAGGCTCCATTCATCTCCTTGATGGTTTCCCTCTGGAGCTCACTGAATGCTCAAGCACTTCCCCTGCCCAGAGATACTGATTCATCTGTTCATTTTTGAGATCAACTTTGTCGCACATCGAACATGACCATAAGTGTTCCCATCTCCCCCTGGGTAGGTCTCCACGTGTTTTTAGGCTAACAACTCCCATTCTGTTCTGCCTGATGTAAAGATGGGTGGCTCCCTCATAGTTTTCCTGTCTCGCGGCTCCTGCAGGTACCCCAGGTTACGCAGTCTATTCAGTAAAAAATCATATTCCACGAAACTGAAATCCTCACAGCATTTAGTCTCTCGTATGGTGCTGATGATGTGCTTCCGGTCCATAGAGGGCCCATTCCTGACAGTCGCACTGCCAGTCACAACGTCTGCTCTCTCATTGCCTTTCACACCAGCATGCGCTGAGACAAAAAAAAGGTGATTTTGCAAAACACTGCGTGCTGTATCAGATGGAGCCACATGATTCATCTTTGTAAACTACAACATCACCTTCATCTGTGTTTTCTTCAATCAGCATTCTGACCAGCATGTCTGCTATGCCAGAAACCTGCTCTCTACATCTTCTATCAAGTACGATATGGACTGTAGTGCTAATATTAAGCGCAGCAGGTCTGCGTATCCATTAAATTCCAAAATTAATATCAGTAAGGTAGTAAATCTGTTGAATGGCATCATCAGCATGACCCATCCACGATTCACTCATTTCAAGTCTATTCATCTTTAGTTTCAACTAGGGATCTGCCTTCACCTTGAGAAAAGCAAAGGCCCTGGATAGCCTGTTTTTTCCATTGTGGGGAATATTGCATTGAGGTATCACATGGATTTTCTACAGATGTCCCTAGTGCATCCAAGAATAGCATGCACTGCCTCAACAGTTTTTTTTAGTCTGTTTATCTGTGTAGGCGAGGAGTGTCATGATGGCAAGTGTATATTAAATGGTGGAAAGAACTAGCCCCTGATGTGCATACATCACTTCTAATGCACACGGATACGTTTTTAAGTGCATCAGTCTCTTCTCATAGATCATACAAGGAGGATATCTCAGCACAGTGCACAAACTCCAGGATCGAAATGTGTGTGTACAATAACAAATAACACATGCTGTAAACATACTTTTCTTTTAGGGTTGCTATTCTTATTTAGAAATTTTGCCTTTGCAGTTTCTCAGTTACCAACCATTGAGTAATTTACAGCACGCACATAGGTCCTCCAAGTTTTCCAGCATTGTCCAGGAAGGCCAAACATCTGATCCACCTCTCACCCCTACAGATCTGTTGACAATATACTCCTATTATTTCTTATTTTGTAACAGTCCAGTCAACTCCTTGAGATAAAACTGCTCTGGTTGAACTAGAAGCATTAAAAAAAAACACAAAACTACATGCTGGAAAACTTTAAAAGTATGTATACTTACGTGCATACATTGTCAGAAACCAAGGAATCGCATATAACTGAAAATAAAATACACAGAATTGTTATTCATCTAATTCATAAGTCAGTGGTTTAAACAGCTAAGTGTCATAAAAATACACACAGCATCATAATAAAACATAAATAAGATATTTTATGGGGGAAAAACATGCGACTTTCATGTCGCCTAAATAGAATATGCTTCTTGTTCTTCTTCTTTATAGCACTCTCCAGTTGTAAACGCTGGGGGAAAATGCTGGCTGTCTGTACACTTCTGGACTTGAGTCTTCTTCTAGAATCTGAGTATTGTATGTACATTCATTTTACAGATCTGATTTATTAATGTGCAAACTGGTGTTTCCCTGCCTCTCAGGCAGATGTACTCACTTCTACACACCTGGTCATGCGGGGGTAAAGGGAAATGATAAGCCGACTAACTGGCAAGCATTGCACTAAGGCATGTGGGAAGAAGCATGGACAGAGCAGATATCGTAAACAAACGTGGGCTAGTGGATAATGAGAAATCCCTGACACTAACAAGATTGCGTGACATGGGAGTAAAGCATGGTGAAGCACGTCTATGCCATCTTCGAGGCCGAGATAGGAGACAATATAACCAGCTTCTCATGGAAACAATTAGTAGAAGGACTGGAGAGGCTGCTGCATCGGAGGGCTGAGCACACATGGGAATGCCCCATGTGCAGTGACGTCAATTGTGATAACATGACATAACATAACTCGCTCTTTGAAGGAAACACCCCTAGTTACTCAACCTTTATGACATGCCTGTTAAGGGGCAGCGGATCTATTCCTGTTTCCCCCATAAAGGGGTCCCAAAACTCACAGTGGGAAAACAGAACATACAGAAGTAACATTTTTTTAAATGTTATTTTTACGTTACTTAAATGCAGAATAGAGAAGTTACTTGAAAACCATACAGATTATGATACTAAAATATAAAGCTGAAACTATTGGGAAGACAAAACACATTAATTCTCTGGCCTAAATACAAATGTATAAGTTACTTGAAACCCATAAACAGGTAACATTCCTGACGCAAACCATCATCATCCCGTTGTGCCATTATTCATTAATCAGGGCTTGTGGTCTAGTCTTCCACTGCCTTCTATCCTGTGCAATCCCTTTGGTATCATGGATGGAATCTAGTCCAGTGTCTTTGGCCTCTCTCAACAATCAGAGAGCATTTCTTTTAGATATCCTTATTTAAACAATTCATTTGTTTCCCACTTCATTTTCTGTCTGGTGGTTCTATGTCCGTTTCTCCTCATAAAGTGTCAATACACTGCCATCTTATGCTAACTGACAATTTAAATTGTCTTGGAGATATCTTTCTTTTTCCTTCATCATTCCAGAATTCATCCAATTTGAAGTCAATAAATTTCAGGTCTAAATACAAGAGAAATTACATATATTTTTTGGCGTAGTGCCCCCCCCCCCCCCCCACAAGGGGGAGGTAAAGTACTATGATTTGTAATCTTACACTGCATTTTTCAGTACAAATGCACTACGTGTTGCATGCTGCAAACATGTATTTATATTCTGGAGATTGTTTTTTCACAGCAGCCACAATAGCAAGGTCACATCCTAAAGTTGTGTTCCCCGTAAGGTCGGCTCGTCCAGCTAGGTATACGTTCTGTTCAGACATTAGAAATATAGCTTTGTACATGACCTTTGTTTGGAATATGACTCGTCTGCTAGAACTTGTAAGCCTCAGTCAGTTCCAAGTAGAGAAAAGGGAAAGGAAAGAAGAAAGAAAAAGTAAAAACCCACCAGAATTTCAGATTCCTCAAGTTTTACTGTAAGGGGACTCTCCTTCCAAACAATAACATCTCCTCCTCTAGAAGGCATTTGACTCCTCTCAGCAAGGGAAAGTGAGGTTACATGTTTATTTATTTCATCGACTTCCTTTTGTATTTATGTATTTTAGTATAAGGCAGTATCTAAATTATTCTATACAACTCCATCAATGTATAATTTGTCAAAAACAAAAGGATATTTTTTTTCATGGGAACTGATCAATCATTCTTCTTTTATTTCTTCTGGGACAATTTGTCTGGTATATGTCGTGTTTGATATAAATCCAAGGATATGGAATGGTTAAAGACGTATACCAAGGTTAAGTTAGATGTGTATACTTTACAGGACATTGCAGAACCAACTCCAGCCAGAATTTATTGGCTGTTGTTTTTCTAGACAAATTTTACGTTCAGAAGTTTGCTACTGCTTCTTGAACCATCAGCTCTTGGCACCACTGTCGAAACTAACGCAAGACAAATAGTCCGCAGCAGAGATCAAACCCAGCACCCCAGCATTATAAAGCATGTTCACAATGCCTAAGCCACAGACGCTGACATACCAAGGCACCACTGTATACTATTTTCTATCATCCAAGAAAAAACTCACAAAAATTACTTACATCCGGTATAAAGCCAATCCCATCCAGGTGATTGCTGAGCTCAGGGTCATGAAATGCAATGAGGTGAGAAAACACAGCCAAGTATTCTGAAAAGTAATAAATCACAAACTGGATTAAATGAGAAACATAAATCAGACATGTATTATTATCTGACTGAGTAAATCCAATGGCTGTAGTATTTGTGGGAGAATAAATCACACGCCTGTGTAATTTGAGAAAGTAAATCAGCTGTACTTCTCAATAAATCAAACAGACGGCTACTGGTGCCATCGGAATTAGAACTTTTTGATTGCTGCTGAAGATGGGGACGGAGTACTTATGAGAGTGTCCCGAATGCTGTAATGTGGATTCTTAATTCAACAATAAATCAAACAGATGAATTATCTGAGTAAATCCCACAGCTGTACTTATAGTCAACATGTGTCCTATCCAATGCTGGCTTCTTTTCCTCATCTCTTGATTCACTGTTATTTATTTAGTTCTTTCCCAAAATTCTACATTAGTGATTTTATCAGACCATTTAATTCCATCAATTCAGCACAGGCACCAGTTATTGAATCTTATTAATTTACACGCTAAATACTTAAGTCATTTTTAACATACCAGCTCTACACAGTAGTTGTGCTCAGAGCTAATAAATACAAAGAAAATGGACCCTCCAAATGCAGCATCAAAGTTAATGATGGTAAAATCACCAAGCAAGTTGATATGTTTAAGTAACAGGGTACACTAATAACAGCAGAGGGAAGATGTACTCAAGAAGTTAAAAGTATAATAGCTTGGGCAAGACAACATTTTACAAAATGAAGATTATTCTATGCAATATTTCTTTGTCAATTGAGAATAGACAAAGAATTATCAAGAGCTATATAAATCCTATCCTGATATATGGAAGTGAATCAGGGATGGTGGGAAGATTAGTAAAAAAAATTATTTGGAAGTGGCAGAGCGTGGTATTATAGAGGAATGATGGGAATACCTTGAACAAATAAAAAGAGCAATGAAGATGTCTCAAAAGAAACTGACTCACAAAAAGAACTGACTGCCTACATCAGAAGGAAAAAATCTACATTCTTTGATAAAGTCAAGAAAAGGGAAAAAAAAACTGGAGTACCTCATGATGGTGGGAAAGTTGGAGGAGAAAAGAATCAGAGGGAGACCGAGGGAGAAGTTTCTAGACAGTTTGAATGATAGCATGGAAGCTGATCTCTGTCAAAAATTACAGAAAGTACACAAAACAGAAGGTTGTGCATAGACATGAAGACATGACTACCCACACTACATAGCATGGACTATAAGAAGAAGAAGATTCAAGAAAAATATTTTAAGCTTGGTTCTAGTTTTAATTTCCTTGATCTACACAGATTTTCTAGCGCTACGGCAACTGCTCTTGACTTCTGGTAGCTGCAGTATCTGCTTCTTCTTAGCTTTCATTGGCTGTAAACTTTGGCAGAAAATTCTGGCTGTTCATTCACATCAGGACTTTGGTCTTGTCGCAGAACTCAAGTTTTTGGGTTCGCTACCATTTTACAGATCTGGCTTATTTGTATGCAGACTGTCAGTTTCTCACTTATCAGGTAGATGCATTATAACTCTGATGGAAACACCCCTAATTAGTTGCTTTTTGTTGGGGGGGGGGGGGGTGAGGGTGGAGAGTGGTGGTGGTACCCTTCCAAACCCCCAAACCCCACAGCCCATAGAGAGGGGTATCATTTGAGACCAAAAATAAACTTGTTTCTTTGACCCTTTGGTTCCAGTGCAAAGACATGTACTATACTTTATAGTCTGTTATTAAGGTTTCTTACCTTGAATCACTGGAGAATTATCCCTCAAGAAAAACTTGTGCAAATACTTAGGAATAAATGCAGACAAACAGGCAAATGCTAGTGCCTCACTGTTGAAAGACAGTGCCAGGAAAGGTGCACAAAGTGAGTCCAAACCCTGCCAGTATACATAATGCGGGTTACTGATGATCCAGGCTTTGAGGATGCGTTTAAACTTGGTATGTGCTGCTGGTGACGACAGCAGTTCATGGTACTGATGGCATCGAGGAATATCGACTTCAATCTGAAAGTGCAAAAGTCAATGTTTGAGTAGTCAGTCCATTTGGTTATGTGAAAACACAGACCTTCTTCTTCCTTATTTTTCTTTCTTTTTTTAATTCTTCAAATACCCTTCTTCCTATTCTTCTTATTTTCTTCTTCTTTATCTACTACTTCTTCTTCCTCAACTTTTTCTTCTTCATCCCTCATTCTTCCTTCTCCTTTTCTCTTCTTCATCCTTCCCTTTTATTTCATCTCTCCTTCTTCCTCCTCTTTTTCATTTCTTTTCTGCCTCTTATCACCTTTTTATGCTCATTATTCTCTTCCTCTCCTTCATCTTTTCCCTCTTCTCTGCCAAGAGAAACTAATCCATACAGGATAATACCGAGTGAAAAGATAAATTCTCTCACCTTCGAAACACCTTTATAAATTATCTGTTAAGATAATGATATCATTAGAAAAAATGAATTCTCACATTACACGTAATTAATTGTAACATATGAATGTGACACCTAATCAAGCCTTTGAAGCCACAGAAATGTAATCCCACAAAATAATATTGAAAAAACCATAAACAATGAAAACTGATGACAGAAAAAAGTCCAAATTCTTTGGACGTGTCATAAAAAGGTGAAAACTAATACATCATTTCAAGAGGAAAGTTGAAAGGGGGAGGGATATTGTTTAAACCTCCATAGGTTTAGTTAAGCTGAGTTATGATTTGGGTTATCTTCACGGCACTCCGGACACGTCCATAGGTGCTTCAACATATACATCAGCGTCCCGTGGTTGATAGTCCCAGTCCTGTAAGTATGTCGTTTGTCAAAAGTATGTCATAAAAGTCAACTGATTAGGGGTGTATTTTTAAATTCCAAGTGCATCCACCTAAGAGACGAGGAACCACCAGTCTGCATACAAATAAGTCAGATCTGTACAATGGACGTGCAAGCAAAACTCAAGTTCTGGAATAAGACTCAAGTCCAGAAGTGGATGAACAACTACAACTTTTCACAGGAGCTTACAGCCAGTGAACATGATACCAACTGCCACAGACAGACATGCTGGAGAAATATAATGATTATGGACACAGAGAAAAGGCAAGACCATGGAAGAGAAGGGGTGACATCATCAGAAGCAACCTAACAGGAATGAACACCAGCTTATACAATACATTGGAAAAGCGCACAAACAATCCTTACATCTTCCCCCCCCCCCCCCCCCAACAACTAGTTGAGGTAAATGGTGGAAGAGAAGAAGAAGAAGAATTCAAAGAACAACAACAATGAGAGGAAAGAAAAGGAGGGGAAAAGAGGCAGAGGAAGACCAAAACAGAAGGAAAGTATGACAGTATGGCATAGCAGTACATCTGTATCAGAAACCATGGGCAGTATAAAAAAAAGTTAAAAGAAAGCAAAGATCCCTTTCCATGCCTCTAGGCGTATCGGGCATATGGGAAGAGCGCCCATATTTTTACAGACCATCAGCACTCGGTGGGTAATTTGGTCAGCATTATGCCTGCTGTCTTTACTTTCCCAGGACAGCCCATCCTGGTACCCATTTTAGGCTGGGTCGACCTGTGACGCCCCCTGCTGGTTCAGGTGTCTCAATTTGGGGATTTGGGGGAGGGGGATAATAGACATGCTGCTTCTTAACAAGTATGTCATAAAGGGTGACTAATTATTGGTTTGTTAAAATTGGATTAGTTGGGATGAGTGGCACTGACATCACCGCTTTGCATAAACCGTAAAACAATAAACCTACCGTCTTCTTAAGGGCACCTGCAGAAGAAAAAGAAGGAAATGAAAAAGATTATGATAATGGTGAAGAAGAAGAAGAAGAGATACTCTGAACAGGTACAGAGAATTTCCTTTTCTGCCCACCTGTCTGTCAGTTGTTGTTGGGGTTTCTTTGTCAACCGAGTTGTAAGCACCTTCGATGTCCCCCTAGTTCAAAGGAAAAAAATAACATAAATCATGCATAATGAAGAAATATATGTGAATACATGTGATAGAAGGAGGGACGAATGGTAAGATCAGTGGGTGATAGAAGAATGTGCCTGCGGATAGATGGATGGATGGATGGATCGATGGGTGTGTGGGTAGATGGATCGATGGATGTGTGGGTAAACTGACATAGGGATAGGTGGGTGAGCTGACAGATGGATGGATGGTTGGTAGATGGATGGATCGATGGGTGGGTGGGTGGCAGATGGATGGATGGATGGATAGATAGATAGCTTACAGATGGTGAGTAGGTATATGAAAGGACAGGTAGATGGATGGCTGGACAGATGGTACGATGCAGTAGGTCTCTTCTACCCCTACCCCCCCCCCCCCCCCCCCTTTCTTCCCCAAATGGCGTCCTGGAGCCCACATGGGACAGCTAGGCTGTAATATCTGCAGTCCTTCAAATAAGACTGAAGTTATGGAGGGTTTGTGTGCTCCAATGACCCTAAGAGCTATACTGACGATAGCTGGTAGAGTCTCCCATATCAGACAGGTCAAGGGTTATGAAACACAAACAATTTTTTGCTGTAGATGTGTTTTTACAGCAGAATACTTATAATTCTTTGGGCAGCCAAAAAGAGCAACCCAAATGTTTTGAAAGAGGCGAAGGCTTGAAGACAACTTATCACAAACATCAGAAAGAGACAGTCATCATTTTTTAGGTCATTTTATGAGAAGAGGGAAACTGGAAAATACTGTGACCACTTGAAAGATCTGTGGAAAGAGAGACAGAGAATGATAATGTGAGAAAATTCTTTATGGCTCTTTTTCCAAGGTATGGAGGAGTGTCGAAACACAAACTAGTACACGCAGTTGCTGATCGCAGATTGTGGAGAGGCATGATCGACCAAGCCAGTCAGCAAGGCACTTACTGATAACCCACTTGAAGAGAATGTCTTGTGATGCCATACCAAACAATATATATAAAACAAGGTAGGGGATGGACACATACAGCATGAGGTAGATCAAGAACAAGATGGAAAGACAACATCCTAGAAACTCTACAACAGTAGGTGTCTATGGCTGTTATGGCTAGAAGAGCAAGAACCAAACCGTATATATCTTCCCCAATAACCAAAACAGCAAAAGAAGAAGTTTGAATAAAACAAAAACAAACAAAAAATTTAATTTAAAAAAATATTTTTTTAATTAATTTTAAAAAAGAACCCCCCCCCCCCCCCCCCCAAAATCAAACCTGAATGACCCAACAAATAATGAATTTTAAAAAAAAAGACAGTTTTATAAGTTAAGCACTAAAAGCAACCGCTAAACAACTACCCACCTCAACCTCCAGTAATGCAGCCCATACATATGCTCTCACCAAGGGAGGTATATCTATCCTGGCTTCTCTCCAAATGTATGGCCTCTTAAAAGGGTATGCTGTGAGCAGCCTCTCATAGAGAATGATCCGGTGAAACTGTAGATAATAACTAGTTAGTTAAGGTTCTAACTAGGGCTGTACAGAATATTCGCTTCGTATTCGCTTCGGGGCCGAATAGTGGACCTATTGACTATTCGGTATTCGGTCGAATAGTTGCGGTTGGGCCGAATACGAATAGTAGTTACCATACACCCGTTTCTGCATACACAGCCTTAATGCTGACAACTTGGAACGATTGGTTTTGTTCAAAGCTAATGCAGCTTTCCTGCATTAACTAAGCTGTCAGTGACAATTTCCAAGTAACTTGTTATAATACCTAGGATTCTTTCATTCCTAGTTATTAGTTACCACAGACTGACTGAAGGATGCAAAGCTTATAATGTTTATAAATGTTTACTATTCTGTACGAATACTAACTAGACACGGAAAGAATATAAACTCCTGCCACATCCAAGTCGATAATATGAAAATCAAGCGAACAGAAACAATTAAGTACTTGGGTGCAAACTTCAACTGCTTCAGCATGCTGAGAGAAGAAATACAATCTAAAATACAATGTAGAAATAAAGTATACTATGCCCTTCAACATCTGCTAAAGTCAAAACTGTCTGTCTCGCAACACCAAGATCAAAATATATAAAATGTTGATAAGACCAGTCGTTTTATATGGCTGTGAAAGTTGAAGCAGAAATAAAAGAGATGAGGCCTTATTACAAGTTTTTGAAAACAGTCTTACGACAAATCTTTGGACCCATCAAAGATGCTAACAGTGGGGAATGGACAGTGAGAAGCAACAATGTAACACATAATATGTTTAAATCATCACTGATCACTGGCATCATGAGAGCTAACAGACTAAAATGGTTAGGGCATATTAAAAGAATGTCAGATGACAGAGAAGTAAAAACTGTAAACACCTGAGAGAGGATGGGCGTAGACCACGAGGCAGACAAAAACAGAAGTTCGAGAGATAATGTCCAGCCAGACCTGCAAACAACTGGTGTCACAAATTGTGAAGAGAAGGCCAGCCAGAGAGATGAATGGAGACGAGTGATATCTGCAGCAGTAAACCTCAAGGGCTCAGAATGCTAAAGAAGAAGAAGACTATTCTGTGCTACTTTATGTGAAGTAAAAGTTCAGCGTACATTTGACATTGTAAATGTTTTTTTTAGATATATGTTATACACTATACACTATTCATATTCGTATTCGGCGGAATAGTTAGTCCTGTTATACAAAATCACTATTCGGTACAGCCCTAGTTTAAATCACATCAAACGAACGGCCAAGCAAACGATGGTTTTGAAAGAGGTGGGAGTGGTGACCACTGGAAAGATATGTGGAAGAAGGGATAGAGGAAGACAACGTTAGAAGATTCTTGACAGTCTTTTTGCATGGCATGGAGGTGTGTCAGCACACGAACTAATACATGCTGCAAGAGATCACAGATTGTGGCGGGGCATAATCGCCCACGCCAGTCGGCAAGGCACCTGATGATGACGATATACTATTCTGAATATAATAAATAAGTTGTTACCAAAGGTAATTAGTGATGCTTACAAACACTTTTATTAATCGACTAGAGCTCTCTGTTGTTTAGTTTCTGAAGAATCAAACAGCTTTTTTTTTTTTTCTGAATATAATAAATAAGTTGTTGCCAAAGGTAATTATTGATGTTTACAAACACTTTTATTAATTGACTAGAGCTCTCTGTTGTTCAGTTTCTGAAGAATCAAACAGCTTTTTTTCTTCTGAATATAATAAATAAGTTGTTACCAAAGGTAATTATTGATGTTTACAAACACTTTTATTAATCAACTAGAGCTCTCTGTTGTTTAGTTTCTGAAAAATCAAACAGCTTTTTTTTTTTTTTTTTTGCTGAATATAATAAATAACTTGTTGCCAAAGGTAATTAGTGATGTAGACAAACACTTTTATTAATCGACTAGAGCTCTCTGTTGTTTAGTTTCTGAAGAATCAAACAGAGCTTCTTTTTTGTGTGTGTGCTAAATGTAATAAATGAAACATCAGTATTAACCCTTTGTTGCTAAAGGTAATTAGTGATGAATTAATAAAGGTTTCTTGTTGCTAAGATTATTACTAACAAATAAAACACCGATCTTTGCTACTAGGGACAAATTACTCCTATCTACAGCAATAATATTTTAAAATGTGCATTTAAACAAAAATCTGTTTTATGTGTTGCGAATGTGCTTTGTAATGTTGGGAGGCCAGGTAGATCCCAGTTGCAGGCAATTTGTAAGCAGACCACCTTGCATTGGTTTCAACAGCGGTTTTGAGAGAAAATCGCTCAGAAGGCAATGACAAACTACTGGAGATAATTTCGCCTAGAAAAACTGCAACATCCCAAAAATACTGGAGTTGGTTCTGCAACATCCTGTAAAAGCCATGCAACTAAGCAACTTTATTGAAAACGCAAGATTAATGCATTAAAACATAATGTGTACATACGTGTGAACGTGCGGGTGCATTTGTGTGTGGAGGGGAGGGGAGAGCAAATACAAACTGTAAACAGTTATGAAGTAACCTGTAGCCTAGAGTGGGTGGGTTTGCTGCTCTTAAAAAGTTGTTAAAACAGGCAGTAACAGCAGTTTTTAACTATCAAAAAAAGTCTTGACACAGAATCTTAAAATAGATCTTAAGGTGTTTGCCTACTTGCCTGGTATTCTATATCTTTCTCCCTGATAACTAGTGGCAGAGCGGCTGAGCTGGTCATGTCATGGTTGCTAGCTGAAGATGGTAGGCTCTGTGACTCCACTGGTTTTGATCTGCAACAAATACAATTGAGATCTGTATGCACAGGGTCACAGTGGCTTAGAGAAACTTATTCTTTTTTTATCTTTTGAAGATAGTGTTCCTGATTTTCTTCTTTTTCATTGTTCGTCTGAGCAGGGTTACTGTTTTGTGCCTGTTTACAGAATAGCTGATATATTTGCACCTTTCGGCCTACACATCTGAGTTCATCAGGCATTTTCCCCGTGTGGGTTCCGGGCCCCACCATGGGGAAAACAAAAATAGACCCACTGCCTTCCCAAAAGCCTGTTGTAAGAGTAGACTAATTAGGAGCTTCCTTCAGTCTGAGTACATCTGCCTGAGAGGGAGGGAACCAACAGTCTGCATTCAAATGAATCAGACCTGTGAAACAGATGTACACGCAACACTCATTTTCTAGAACAGGACTGGAGTCCAGAAGTGGACAAACAACCAGAACTTTCTGCCAGAGTTTGCAGCCAGTGAACTCGAAGAAGAAGATCCAGCATTTGTGTAAGGGACATGACATAGCCTTATTCATGTGGTGTCCTCTTTGTCCCTTCACCTACAGGTTTTGCCCCTGGAGAATCCATCCAGAGCAACTGCATGCAGATTGGTTGGCCCTCAAGGAAAGGCAGGGGCAGAACATGGGCATTCCCTGCTATCCAAGGAGGTTTCCATAAATGCAGGCTTTCATCTGCTCAGAACTGCCTTAATTATACCACTTTTGCAGTGTAGGCAGGGAACTCTTCACAAGCACAATACATAAATAAACAAAAATACACAAAGTCACTTAAGTGATTCATGATATAAGCCACCTTGAGGGTCATAGGGAAGTTTCAAGGAAGGGTAAGGGGGAGTTTCAAGCAATTCTGAAACTGAATTCATTTGTACTTGTAATACTCTGTTATACTTTTTTTTTTTAACATTCAGTTTAACTCATTCAGTCCCAAGGAACACATCACATGTTCACAAGTTTCTACCTAGAAGCCCAATGAACACAAGATGCACAGATTTTTACACCTCTCTTAACTACCCCTTGGACCTCTGATGCTAAACCTCCTTGGACTAAAAGATTTAATTATTTTAAAAATTATTTATAAAACAAAAAGCAGAAGATGTTTTGTTTTCATGAGTACTGTGTACATCACTGTTGAAAATGTAACTTACTATTTTAAACTTTGAATTTTGTTTTTTCTCCAAGTTCTTGTTCACAGTGCTTCAGATTGTTCATTTGATCCTCCTCTTCTTTAATCACATTTGGTTTTTTTTAATTTGGAGGGGGGTCTGTCATATATTTAAAAAAGGGGATTGTGGAGGACCCTTGGAAAAGGTATAAAAATCACTGATCTATGGTAATAGACTTTCCATGGCTAGGTTACTTTCTCCCACAATTTTGCTGGGTGTGAGACAAATCCTTGGTGTGGATTTTGTTTTCTGTTAGGGTGTTCCCCTCGTTCCCGGATGGTCCCGCCTGCTGGGGGGGGGGGGGGGGGGGGGGGGGGGGGGGGGGGGGGGGGGGGGGGGGAGAGGGCGCAGCACAAGCCATGCAGCCCTCAATCCTTAAGCTTAACAATGACCCTTTGCTCTACAGCACCATAAACTGTAATTTGCCCATAGGATCTTCTGATTTTTCATCAGATATTTCTAGGTATCAGATCTTACTATCCAAAAGATCAGGTGGATGTGTGATACCTTTAGAAAACAATAGTTCGGTACAACTAAGTTTTCTGGGCCCTGCCCGCCCACTTACATGCTGCAAAGCGTTTAATTCATTCTTGGATCAGCCGGGTCAACTTCTGCAAAGGTGAGAGGGGTGTTGCCGTGGCTGTGTCCGATTGGCGTCACTTTATAACACCCATTTACGACCTTAGGACATCTCTTGTGGCAAGACCTCTATACTACAGCAAGTTAGCGATTTTAACGACCGCATAAAATCTGCTGCTGGGCCTAACACAAACCCCTAGGTCCCACGAGACAGTGCATTCTATGTGTTGCTGCAGACACAAAACTCTACCCTCTGCAATAAACTAATTTCCTTCAGCGCTGATAACTCCAGCAGATTCATATCGTAGTTGCTGAATTCCCAAACACCACAATATCCGCAGTTATGTGAGAATAGCGACCACACACTAATATAACATGTAACTTCCTGCATTCCAAAATATACGCAAGAGAGACATCTGACACTCCTGGCATTTTCAATTCAGCATCTGACAGCTTAAGGGCTTCAGGCGGAGACTCACCGTCCAATCACAGTGTCCTGTCCCGCCTTCACCATTCATAAATGTGTACATGTGTGTGGCCAGGGCCCGGAAAAGTGAGTTGTTCCAAAAGTTCTTATAAACCTTTGCATAACTATGATGGTATTTTCTTCTTGTTCTTTTCTTCTTTGCCTCTTTTGTAATCTTCTTCTGCTTCAGTTTCTGCCTTTAAAAGTGCAGTTAGCACATGGTAGTTTAAAAGCTAGACTGTAGTATCTGCATCATTTGGCCCAACACACTCAATTTTAACAAATTTTTAATTATTCACCTTGTGACAATTATTTTTTAAGGTTATTGGGTTCTTTTCTTTACCAACCCACACTCTCACCCCATTAAAAATGGGGTCCCGAAAAGATATGAATCTAGTCATTTACATCCTAGTGACTGAAACCTGTTGGAATCCGTGTGAATTCTCTTAGTACCGAGAGAGTTATACTAGCCAGACTGCTGTTTTCCTCCAAGATAAAAACAACTCCAACTTACTCGTCTTCCAGAAGTGGATAGTACGCTGTGGCAGGAATCTCCCTCAGTCGCTGTAAAAAAAAAAATATATATATATATATATATACACACAAAAATGCAAAATCTGAAAATCGAATGAGACAGGAAATAAAATAAGAACGTTAATTAACACCAACAATTGCAGATGTCATCTGTGGCCTGAAGGGCTCAGCAGACTAAAAGTTGAAACAATTTTTTTTAATCTGACCTTGGTTCCCAGGTCAACTAAGCTACCAGGTATGTCCTGAGAACTACAAGCGGACGCCCTGGTGTTGACTTCATCCATAGCGTTTACTGGTCTATAAAATTAGGAGTCTGACATCATATGCCAAATGCACCACCAGTGTAAACTGGGTCCTTTAACAGCCGATGTAAAGTTGCAGTAACAAAGAGGCATCATAGGGACTCTTTGCTGCACCCATTGCCATAGATCCTTTTGGGGCTATATTGAGTTTATAAGGCATCTTTGGATTCACAAACAATCAACTGCAGTATTTAACGGATGAAACATAGCTGGAGAGGTTGGCAAAGAAAATCAGAAACTGCAATTTTGAACAAATCAATGCTACACAACAGAGACAGAGACACAGAGAGAAACAGAGACAAAGAGAAAGAGAGAGGGTGTGTGTGTGCGCATATGTGTGTGTTATGAGAATGTCCTGAGCGCTGCAATGTCATTTCATATCTCTGAGTCCCAGGGGGTTTATAATCAGAGGCCCTAAGGGTAGTCAGAAAGATGTAAAATCGGTGCTTCATGCGTTTATTGGGCCTCTAGGTAGGAACCTGTGAACGTATGATGCGTTCCTTGGGACTTAAAGAGTTAACTCAACTCAACTCATAAGTGCTCAAAGCTATCTTTGGACATCTTAATTACTTCCTTAACTGATAGTCCATCTTCCCTGCAAAAGCCCATAAGGACTCGGATCCCATCTTCAGTATACCCCTCAGTGTGTGGCAACTGATAACACCAGTTCTGTGTTGGTTTACGATTCTTCTTTGGCTACCTGTATAGTGTTTATGTCTAACAATACTTTTTTTAAACACAAAGTTCTTGCCTGTCAAGGTTGCCAATTTACTGCTGTCTCCAGAATCATCTACTCATCTTGTCTCTTTGACAGCATTGAGAACACTGGCCCAGTTCATTGGTTTTACTATGCCTACCGAGGTCCTGCCAGCAACTATATCTGCTCATTCCTTCCCTCTTATCCTGCAGTGTTGTGGCACAAAAATGAAATTGATTTCTGTCACAGGAGATTTCCTCAGAGACTCCAACCATTCTCTTCAAACCTATTTTGTCTCAATCTTCTTAATCATGTTAATGTAATCAGTTAGAAAGCAGGCAACTATAAAAATCTGTGTCTAGCCGGACTACTGCTTTTGTTGGGTAATTAATGAGAATGAAACTAAATCCACTGACAAGAAGAGTGAGTAAATTAAGTTAACTCTTTCATATTCTTTGCGTTCACCAGCTATAAACTCTAGCAGAAAGTTTCAGTTAATCGTTCACTTCTGGACTGTAAAGAAATTAATGAGAAAATTCACTGAAGAAATTAAAGGGAAAATTAATTACTGAAGTTGAAATTCAAACACAATATTTGTTAAAACTCACCAAGGAAGTAAATTTACGGGGGTTCTGGTCCGGGACATCCCTGCTTTACGTAAGACAGTGTCCAGGTCACCTCCAGCCAGACGCCATAGGTAGTAGACTTCCTGCATTGATCTCTGAGACAGGTGATCATCACTAAATTCTGTAGAGGGAGAAGTGTAACAAATCTTCATTGCATGTACTAGCTCTACAGAGCTCAGAGTTAAATTAGGAACAATGTAGAAGGAAACAACAGTATTAATCAAACTGTTTTTGTTGTTGTTGCTAGACTTAAGTTCTATGTATACCTACAGATAAATCAACCAGTGTTAAATTCTGCCAAGGATAATTCAACCAGTGCTATGTATACTTAACTCTTTCAATCAAAGAGAGTTCTAGCAGCAAATCCTAGAAGGAATCAATGACCACTATGAAAAGTCGCGAATGCAGTTCACTTTTAAATGGGCAAATTATGCAACTGAATTAAAAGGGAAGCCAGCACTTTGATCAATAGTAAAAAGGGGGTGAATGCGATCGCTGGAATTCACGTGGATGAACAACCTGAACTTTCCACCAGAGTTTACAGCACTAAGAAGAAGATGAAGAAGCTATCAATCAGTGTTAGAATTTGCTAAGAATACATCAACAAGTGTTGTATGATGGTACGGAAATTATTTTTATGTTAAAGACATGGGAACTGTTCAAACATAGACATGTCATAAAAGTATGAACACCTTTCAAATATAGGCATGTAATACAAAGTATTAACTCTTTTCAAATACAGATAGTTAATAAAAGAATTAACACTTTTCAAAAACAGATAGCTAAAAAAAGAATTAACACTTTTCAAATAAGGACAAATAATGTAAGAATTAGTACCTTTGAAATACAGACAAATATTAAAATAATTAACAACTTTCAAGTAGAGATAATTCATGAAAGAATTAACACTGGCCAAATACAGATAATGAATAAAATGATTAAGATCTGACTAACACAGATGATTAATAAAAGAATTAACACCAGCCAAATACAGATAATTATTAAAATAATTAATACTTTTCAAATACTAGAAATAAAAAAAAAATAATTAACACCTGTCAAAACAGATAATTAATAACAGAATTAACACAATGAAGCCACATCATTCAGAGCATGAGGTTAATGGCTCGGCCACTCTGTCATCGAGACCAAGAAGCTGATACAGCTCCATAGCCAGCTGGTAGAAGGTTTCAGGCTTCAATCTGCACCAGGACCAATAATTTTTTTTTTTAAACTGACCTTTGCTTCCAGATTGACACAGCTTAAAACTGTTACAGAAATGTCTTGGAAAGTAAAGGCAGAATCCTCAAATTGACCACATCCTCCACCGAGTTCTGATTAATTAGCCTATTCTTCTTCTGCATTTGTCTTTAAAAGAACAGTAGGTACTTTGTGGAACCCGAGATCTACGCCTTTGGGCCAAACACATCCAACTTCAGTTAACTCCAAATTAGCTGCCTTTTATGACATGCTTGTTAAGGTAACAGCAGGTCTTTTCTTTTGACCTAAAAAAAAGGGACAACTGCCAATTACTGCCTGTATATACCACTACAGTGTAGGTGGGGTGGGGGAGTCTCTGAGCCTTAGGATTTATGGCCACATTCCTAGTGCTGCTGCCACGGACTGTGCAGGTTATTATTTTACTTCTGCCCCAAAAGAATACATCCAGAACTTTACTAAGGATTCAAACCTGGGTCTTTCGTTTGAGAGCCAACGCTCTTAACTGTTCGGCCATCTGCCAAGGGGACAACTGATCTATTAAAAATATGGGTCTGGCATAAAGTGCCCCACTAATGTAAGATGTGCTGTTTACTTTACACAGAGACGCCCTCTTTTATAACCCTTTACAAAAGAGAATGCCAGCTGGGTCTATAAAATGATGTATGGACGTGTCAGCGAAAAGGTGCAAATGTTATAGGTATACCACAGACACAATGCAACCAAATTTCATTCTGAGAAATGAATAGGAAACATAAGAACTGAATTTAACAACTTACAGCAGTTTCTCTCATCTTGTTGAACAGCGGATGCTGTATAAGTTCTTCCGACTGGGCTCTGAAAATATAAAACTAGTAACTAAAATTATCAATTTAATTCAGACGGCTGTACTAGGACTTCCTCCTTTTGGCCTAACTCTTGCACCCCAGTAACGTTTTAAAAAAAAATGGGTCATGACCCGTGGGAATTCTTGAAAAAATTCTTTGAAAACAATAATTTTACAGGTCACTAATAAATGTTGTAAAAATTTATGTGCATTGATAATTTTTGTCTCCTATGTATATAAAGATACATAAAAGGAGCAATCAATGAACATGTATAGATAAATAGAATACATTTCCTGGGGCCTAAAAAACATTATCAGGTCACTCATGCCGTGACCCCATGACCTATATCACTAAAGATTACGGGAAAATGTGAGGTCAACCTTGTGTAGGAAAGAAGTAAATAGGGGTAGAGTCACGAGGCCACTGATGATTAGTTCTGAGTAATAAACCCAGGGAAACACTGAACAACAACAGTAAACTAAAACACTGTGCCTGACATTGAAGGATGAAGGAAATGAGGGGAGTAGGTGTGGGGCTGCGTTGCTAATTTGCCCAGACACTATCAGCGATTAGTTATGGTAGCACCAAATGCTTGAAAGTAGCCAGCATGTGAATTAGACTCAAAATTTAACTACCACAAATCACTGGGGAGTCTGACATAGAAGGGATGCGAACAGCCTGAATACACTCTCATAAAGTAAGCCCTCTTGAGATAAAGACAGGAGAGGCATATGCATTTTTTTTTTTTAGATGAAGAGGGACGAATTGGCCAGAGAATTTATGAAGTTAAGAATGGCCAGGTTGACAGATGGCAGAGGTGTTAGATTGCTGACACTTGAGAAGAAGGGATATAAACAGAAACGAAGTGTAGACAGGGGGTGAAAGCCCAGGACACAGGTAGAGGAAGGGAGTGTAGGGCGTGTTGAGCTGAAAGAACTATAGTGTGTCAGATATAACTTGTTCATTGCATGGCCAAAGAGTTTATTGAAATATAAGGCAAATTTTAGACTTTTGAGTAGTAAATGAGATATACCTAGAAGAGAAAACAGCACAAACTTCGTTACAAGAAACATATTTGGAATTTATGTTAGAAGTAAGTTATGAACAATAACAGCCAAAAGCCAGTTAGAAGTAAATTGTGAAGTATGCGTAAACAATGTTTTATGCTGAAGCGTCTCGTTATAATTGTTTAAACGGAATCATCGTCATTCTTGAACTGAGAAAGTGATTTTATAATAAACAATCTTAATGATTACATGACTTGCTGGATCACTGGCCATGATGTTCTAACACATTAAACATACTAAGACTATCTTATCATGTGTCCATTGTGGCAAACGTGAAGGAACTTGGGGAGCATGAAAGGCTGATAGTGCGATACTGGCTTTGAAAAAAAAATTTTGTTTTAAGGACTCCCACCCCATCCTTTTCCCAAATGACATTTTTAGTTAAAATTTTTAAAATCCTGACTTCATAAACATTTGTGCAGGCATGAACAAAATACACTTCGGATACATGTACTGTTGCACCATATTTAACAAACAGGTGCATATATTCTTGTACCACATAATGCAAACATACATAACATAAACAAATACTGTTGTATCACAGACACATATATACAAAGCAGATGCATATACTGTTGCACTAAACACACAACAAACACTAATACTGTTATACTTTAAACAACAAACATAGACAAACATCACATACATTGTTGTACCATATACAACAAACATACATATACAACAGACACATATACTGTTGTACCATATACAACAAACATACGAACAGACCTTTATACTGTTGTACCACACACAGTAAGCATACAGAACAGAAACATGTACTGTTGTTCCACATACAGCAAATGTGCACAACAGACACACACACACACATATATATATACATATAATGTTGTACCACACACAGTAAGCATGCAGAACAGAAACATGTACTGTTGTTCCACAAACAGCAAATGTGCACAACAGACACACACACACATATATATATACATATAATGTTGTACCACACACAGTAAACATACAGAACAGAAACATATACTGTTGTTCCACATACAGCAAATGTGCACAACAGACACACACACACATATATATACATATAATGTTGTACCACACACAGTAAGCATGCAGAACAGAAACATGTACTGTTGTTCCACATACAGCAAATGTGCACAACAGACACACACACACATATATATACATATAATGTTGTACCACACACAGTAAGCATGCAGAACAGAAACATGTACTGTTGTTCCACATACAGAAAATGTGCACAACAGACACACACACACATATATATACATATAATGTTGTACCACACACAGTAAACATACAGAACAGAAACATGTACTGTTGTTCCACATACAGCAAATGTGCACAACAGACACACACACACATATATATACATACAATGTTGTACCACACACAGCAAAAAGTCATAAAAGACACCTACCGCTTTGAAGAAGTCACACTAAGGCAAAGTCTAAGAACATCCAGCATTTCTTTGGATACACCCTGCAAGTCAGAAGATCATAAACAGTAAAACAGCGTCACCATGAACCCACTTAAGAAGAACACTCGGTTAACATGAGCATAATTTTGGCCTTAGCCGGGATATATTATTATTAGTCCTCGGTCAGCACATAACACAAACTTGATTTTATGGTCCCTCGAAGTTGTGTTAACAAGGTAAAAAGGTAAAGTCGGGAGATGTGAACCAGCGTCATTACACATGATTATAAACCATAAGTGCTCTGCCACCAGTACAGACAGCTGATAAGAAACTGTCTGCCATTGTCGCCGTCCACACGCAACGTTCCTCCATTTACCCCAGAGTGTTAACTCTGGTACCCATTACCCAGAGGTTGGGTGAACTCTGGGAACCGGCCGGCTTCGAACAATGGCCGTGGGCTGCAGCTAGTCGCAGCTGGATTTGAAAGCAAGTCTCCTATTAACTGCGCTAACGCGGCCTCATAAAGGTTTTACTGCACTAATATGTACCTGATGTCTGTGTATGTGTGCTGGATCTGTGCATGTGTCTGTGTGTATGTGTTCCGTCTGTGACTGTGTGCATGCCTGTTTATGTTGTGTGTGTGTGTGTAATCAATGTGTGCGCCTCTGTGTGTGTACGTGTGTTGTGTGTCTGTGCTTGTGTGTGTGAGTATTTGTGCATGTATATTTGAAGGTTTGCATTTGTCATCCATGCCTTTGTATTTTTAATTTACATTTATACAATGAATGTTGACGTATGAACATAATATTCTTGGTATATCATGCAACTGTCGTATGAAAGATGAATGCGTGATAAGGCCGAATGTGAGATGGGCCTCCTATTCCCAATTTGTAACCCTCTGAAAATAAAGTTTGTTCGTTCGAGAAATTACAGGGTAGCCCGTTTGTTGTGATGTTGGAACCTTGACCAACAACCAGTCTGTTCTCTACTCTCTAGTTCCAAGTGACTGAGTAAAGTAAAGGACCCCTTTTGATGCCTGTGACGCACCAGGCATTTGATTCTAGACGTATATTTGTATAGAATAATCAGCACTTGGTGCGTGATGTTGTTAACATCACACCTTTACCTTCCAGGACATTAACAGGTAACCATTTTAGGCTGGGTCAGCTGACCGAACCACCTTTCAATGACTGAGTCACCTTTCAGTGACCGAGCTACATTTTATAGACCAAGTCACCTTTTAGTGACTAAGTCACCTTTCAGTGACCGAGCCACCTTTTAGAGCTGAGTCACCTTTCAGTGACTAAGTCGCCATGCAGCGATCGAGTTACCTTTTAATGACTGAGTCAGCTTTCCAAATCCATATTTTGTGTGTGTTAACTATGGGGATGTGGGAAACTTAAGCTTGTATTCCGAGGCTGGATGTGTCACATTAGTTGTGCTGTACATGCGATCATGAGATGTGCTGGGCACTAATATTGACAGATATTATAGACTGGTTAGACATTACAGACTAACTGATAAAAGTAATGAAGATGTCTTGAAAGACAGTGACCCAGGAAGAGAACTGATTACCCACATCAGAAGGACAATCAGTCTACCTTCTTTGGCCATGTCATGACAAGGAGAAAACTGGAGTACATTAAAAGGAAATAGGAAAGTTAGAAGGAAAAGAGGCAGAGAGAGAAGAAGCTGGAGAGTCTGACATCATGGCATGGAAGATCTATGTATCAGATTTGACTGAAAGTACATGAGACAGAAGGCTATGGATAGACATGACTACCAACGCCACATGAAATTGACTATAAGAGGATTAACTGATATTAACAGACAGGTATGTAAACTAGACAACTGTTTATATGAGACAGCCATAGAGTTGAAATTCAGACAGATGATTTCTTCTTCGTCTGCTACATTCATTTAAATATGTAAATATGTTGTGCCTGTTTACAATACGGGTGCAATATTTGTGCCTTTCAGCCGACACATCCGACTTCTGCAGGAATTTGTTGCCTGGGTAAGTCTTCCCAGTGACAGATGAATTTATAGATAGACCTAAAAATGGACCTCACAGTCCTTGAGTACTAATGTTCAAATTCTGTGACTCATGGTTAAACTTTTCTAAAACCTCTCTCATAGTTTTAAGACAGTGGTAAAAGAGTCACAACTAGACGCAGGTTGAGATCTCACCATCTAAATACTTTTAAATGTTGAATGTTGAATTAAGCATCAACATCATAGCACTCTGGACACTCCCATAAGCGCTCCATCCCCATCTTCCACAGCAAGCGAAGAGTTCCAATTCCGGTGGTATCAGTAATTCCCCTTTCCCTTGAGTGATAAGCATTGGCCAGATCCCCTGGTAACTTCCTTAATATTTCTAAGGACAGTAATTTGTGTACTGTGGCGTACATTCATCGTAGAGACAGCACACAACTTACATTTAAATGAATAAAATGTACACTAACCTTCAATTTTTTGGACACAGCAGGATCTTGACTTAAATAATCCACAGGTGACATTTCTTTGAAAGAACCAAAATCAGCATCATAATCAATCAGAAGGTTCTTTAAAGAATGTCGCTCATGTCATGGTACACCTAAAAGTCTCACGTTCTCTAGCCAGTACTTCAGGCCTATGTGCTTTCATAGCCAAGGTAACTTATTGTTTTCCAAAAATTGTACTCTCTCTCTCTCTCTCTCTCTCTCTCTGTCTCTCTCTCTCTCTCTCTTATCTTAGCTGACTTTTTTTTCTTGCTTATGGAATGCAGCACATTTAGTATGTCTGCCCTCTCCATACTTCTTCCTTCACTAACAACTGCAGACGGCCAATCTGTTGGCTCTTTTATTTCCCGTCACCCCGGTGTGTTCTGGCATGTACAGATAAGAAAATTTCTTGAGGAAGGATGCTGTTAACTCATTCTACATGGAGTTTGCTAGTTTGGATCTTCTTTAGCATGATCATTGATTCTATCACCATCAATGAGTGAGCTGCTTTCTGTTCCATCAGCCATGCAAGTGCATCTCATATGATGTTTACTTAGGCGATACTAAGCCTGTAGATCACCCGACTGCCTCTTTGTACTGTATACACTAAATAAACTAAAACTTCTTCTGCTTAATCCCCGGTGGTAAACTCTGCCAACAATGTTCTGGTTATTGGTCCACTTCTGGACTTTAATCCTGTTCCAGAATTTGGGTTTTGCATGCACATCTGTTTTACAGACCTGGCTTACTTGTAGGCAAACTGGTGGTTTCTTGCCTCTCAGGCAGACTGATTCCAACTTCAAAGGAAAACCCCTTGATGACATACTCATTTGGTTTTAGGGAAAAGGGGGGGGGGGGGCAAGAGGGGGGCGGCAGTGAGTCTATTTTTTCCCCTCTCCAAATTGAACCCCTGAACCCATATGGGGACAGGACTACACAAAAATTTGACTAACCAGTTTTTATCAACTCTATTGTCTTCATCAGCATTTCTCTTACACTTAGTCCTGACCACAGTTCTCGACCCTGTAATCAGAAATAATAAATCACATGTTTGTTCAATCATAATTACTTTTTTTTTTTAAAGCTATTTTTTCACACACAAAACCCCTCCTGAAAAATATTTTGAGTAAATATAAGCATACCCAGTCTTCCTAAACACTGTACATGTGCAAACAGAGCCAATATCATTAACTAGGTTGGCTTTGGACAGGACAATGCAGCAATTCCTGTTAAATGTATAGATTTGTAAAGAATGGTTTTGCAGGATTGGAGGTCTCATAGTAAAAGGGTTAACTAAGTATATTATCATAAAACAGTCTACTGAAAGTAACATTAAGTATATTATCAGAAAACAGTCTACTGAAAATAACATTAAGTATATTATCAGAAAACAATCTACTGAAAGTAACATTAAATATTTATTCAGAAAACAGTTTACTGAAAGTAACATTAAGTAAATTATCAGAAAACAGTCTACTGAAAGTAACATTAAATATATTATAAGAAAACAGTTAGCTAAAAGTAAAATTAAGTATGCACAGAAAACAGTATGATAAAAGTTATATGAAATTTGCCAGAGAACAAATAGCCTGTTAGAAGTAGTATAAAGGCTAAGACTTCAAAATGAAACCAAACTGGCCATCTACAGAGCTCATTAGTTCCAGCTGTTGGAACTTACCAATATGAGCTCCAGTAGAATGATGCCAAAAGACCACACATCAGCCTTTGGGCCTGAGACTGGTTGCAGGCAATGTCCTGTGTCATCCTCAACTGTCACTGGACCCAAACACAGAACTTCCGGAGGCAGGTATCGAGGCAGTCTGAAGATGAAGAAGAAATATAAAATATAACCAGCTAAAACAGTGGCGGCCCTTCCTTGAATATATGACAAGACCCCCCCCCACCCCCGACCCCACCCCCCCCCCCCCCCGACTCCCACCCCACCTCAATTTTTTTTTTTTTAGCTTTTATTAAAAGACGAGGGCACAAAGAAAAATGCTAAGCATTATTAATAAGAACTTGGAGAAAAATTTACTGATTCAACATTTACTTACGCGAGAGGGAGCATCTAAGGGTATGCCCGGTGTGCTATAATGTCAATTCTTAAATCAGTAAACAGTAAATTAAAGACAAAACATCCACATAAATCAAAGTGTTAAAAAAAAAGATATAAGAAACAATAACATTAAAAATCTATGGTTAAGAATATCAAGGAAATCAAAATTAAAATGTTTAGAGCATTCATCTTCCCTTTTAAAAAAAAACCTTATAAGTTGCACTTTACATGCTTGTTATGAGGCAGTGAGTCTATCTCTTTTTTCTTTTAACCCTCAAAATGAAATCCTAGAACCCATACAGGGGAACCCATATGATTAGAATCTAGCAATTTTCAAATGATTAGTAAAGTCTTATCACATCACGCTGAGTGAATCCATAGATATTCTGATCTCTTTTTAGTAGCTCTTCAATTCTTCTATTTGATTTCCTTACTTACTTCTTTGGGTGTCGAGGGATATACAAAGTTCTGCTTCTTGCACTTCTAGCCACAGCGATCACAGACACATTGTCTGGCTGTAGAGTTTCTCTGATGTTATCTTTTTATCTTGTACTTGGTCTGCCTAGTGCTCTACATCCTCCTCATTTAGTGTATGCCTTGTATTGTATGGCATCATAAGGCAAATCATTTGATTTGCTGTCTTTGTATGTAATTTAGAACTGATTCTGTGCTGTCTTCTTCTCTTATGACCTCACTTTTAATTTTATCTCTTCTGGTAACTCCAGCAGTCCTTCTGAGACATCTCCTTTCCATGGTAAAAATTTTCTTTGAGTATCTTCACTAGCTCACCCCACAGTGATCAAAGCAATTTTATGTTGATTAATCAAAGAGAAGACACTTACTTTCTTCTTCTTCTTCTTCTTCACTTACTCTTTTACCGCTGTGGGTGTCGAGGGAGATATAAGGTTCTGTTTCTAGCTCTTCTGGCTGCCTCGACCATAGGCACATCGTGCTGTTGTAGAGTTTCTCTGATGTTATCCTTCCATCTTGTTCTTGGTCTACCCCGTGCTCTACGTCCTTCTTCTCTTTCCACTTACTGACACTTACAGACCTCCAAATATCAGAATAATATATTGTACAAATCTACTAAAAGATTAGAGATTCAATTCATTTAAAAATCCTCTACATACCCAATGGGAAAAGACACATCTGCTCCATAATCTGTGATGTAATACACACCATACTCTGACAACTTCACTGCACCCTGACAAACAAAACATACCAATAAAAATGATTTTCTTCGTGGCAGGTTAATCCCTGCAAATACTAATATATTTTGTTTTTTCTTCTTCTTCCTCTTATCATTCACCGGCTGTAAACTCTGGCAGAAGGTTCTGGTTGTTAATCCACTTCTGAACGCTAGTCTTGTTCCAGGAATTGAGTTTTGCGTGCATATCTGTTTAAAAAATCTGGCTTATCTGTACTCACACTATTGGTTTATCGCCTCTTAGGTAGATGCATTCTTACTTACAATAAAAACAATTAACCGACTTTTACAACATGCTTGCTAGGGGGCAGTGGGTCTATGCTTTTTATAATCTAAAGAAGGAATATTTTGTTTTAACTGTCATATTTTTCATGTGGGAAATGGGACATGTGCAGAGCTAGCATTAATTGTTTTTTCTTACTGTTGATTACTGTTGAATCATCTGCCTCAAGCCACACCTGAAGTTTTGGTGTGCACCAACTATTTATAATGTCAAACTACTGGATGTAAATTTGCCTAGAAAAACCACAACAGCCAAAATATCCTGGGATTGGTTCTGCATTGTCCTGTAAAGGATACGCAACTAACTTAACCAACTATTTAAACATTTTTTATTTGCACAAAACAACACTGATAAGTTTTGTCTGTGCCAAACAACACTTTAAAGTTTCTGAAAAAAATGATTTAGTGTCTGAGAAAGAAAAAAAAAACTATTTACTCTCTGAGAAAGAATGGTTTCATTGTTGAGAAAGAATGCAAAAAGAAGAAAACTACAGAACAGTGGCAGTGAAAAATGAAAGTAAAAAAAACAAACATACATGTCAGTTAATGGATATGTCTGAGATAAAATACAACACCTGTTTGGTCAGAAGAACATTTTCGAGGCTGAGGTTCCGATGTACAATTCTATTCTGGTGCAAAAAGACCAGACCTTCCAAAATCTGAAAACCAGTTTGGGTGATATAGCTTTCTCTGAAATCAACAATAAAAGAATTAAATTATATGTAGGTATTCACTTGAACGAGTTATGATAATTTTTAAATATTTTTTTAAAATTCATTATGTGCCGTCTCCACAACTCTGCACTTGTTGCTGAAGATGGGGATGAGCGCTTGTGGGAATATTCTGAGTGCTATGATGTTGGTTCTTTCCTCATCTTAACCCATAACAGAAGTTGGCTACAGGGGGTATGTGCATCCACAGCTGTTTTTGGGAATATTACATAGTGACATCTTAATCTCTTCCATGGTGCAACTCTCATACTACTATCAAAAACGGCCTTTTTCTTAACAGTCAGGTGCAGAAATCAAACCCTGGTACTTGGAGAAATGCACTCACTAACCTCTAAGCCAAACTGCTGCATTTTCATTAATTACAAGAATTTAAAATAATAAAGACTTGGCTTATTGAACTACTATTTATTTTCTTTCTACTTCTTTCTTTCACCCTGCAATTTAAAAAAAACCTTGACCAACTCATGGCAACCCCTTTGTAAATTTTCTCATGACTGGCTGGTTGGCTTCTGCAGCTAAAGTTCAGTATCAGATAGCCTGGTCATTGAGTTCATAAATAACAAACAAACAAACAAAAACAAACAAAAAAACATACAAAAAGGCCTTCATGGCTAAGCCACATCTGGATAGCAAACTTGAAACGAAAAAAAGAAAATAAAGATAGATGGAGGATACAATACTTGAGAAAAGAGAAAAGGTAACATGGGCAACATTCAAAAAACCTGCATGCAAATATCTATCGCTGCTGACTGAGACAGACAACTATGGAACAGGATGATTAGGTAGCTTCACTAGCAACCAGCTGAAATATATGATGGTGATAATGATAATCATAAAATATCACAAAATGTATAAAGAACATAAACAGGCAAATAAACAAATAAGGTAGTAAAGAATTATATTAAATAAAGATGCTTTTTCAATTCTTACGTTAGTCCAGATTCATTTTTCAATGTGTCCTTCAAAGTTGTACGGTGGTGCTCAGACACAACTATCATACATTCTGAAATTCAGTACAAACAAAATGAATTACAAGCGTCAACACATACACGTCTAAACAATGCACAGTGCTGTATCTTAAGACTTCCGTGGTGATCACATAGTTCATCTTAGACTTGAAGTGGTCAGTGGTATATAGAAACATGCGACAAGGTGATCAGTGTATTTCAGTGGGAATGGTTCATGTTTTGTGCTTCATTTTAATATTTGTTGATCTAACTCTGTAGTAAAGCGTCTGATGAGAGATTTTAGTAGTAGTAGTACATTTTACCCCACCAGGACATCACACAAGCGATAAACACCAGATGACACAAAGCGCCACCATGTGGATAAGGATCACTCGTGGAGAGGTCCCAGAAAACGCGTCCAGCCATTAGACCATATTTATGGCCGGGCCATATTGCGGCCCCTGGCAAGAGCCAGAGTAGGGCTTCAAAATAATGAAAAATTGCATCTCACAAGGAGATGACTAGATGTACATGAGAGATTTCAAGAAATATGCCAGACAATAAACTGTTCAATATATAGTTTGTGCCCTCATTATTTAACACTTTTGTAGTGGAAAAAAACATGAGCCTGGGAATTCACAAAAAATTCTTCAAAAAGCACAAGTCATAATACAAATTCTGACATTTTAATTATATAAATTTAAAAAAAAATTCTCATAAATTATTTTAAGAGAAGACAATCAATAAATATGCACAGAGCAGAGAATTAAACAGTTATAGTTCATTAGGCATAAACAAAATTCATATCGTGATTAAATAAGTGATGAGTGACCCTGACTGCTAACAGCTAGGAGAGAATTATGATGCCATCGTGGCTAAATAGCCATTTTTCTCCCCATGGTAACCCTTTCCCCCATGCTATTTTCTTAGTAAATATAGTCATATCTGGACCTCCTAAACAATGCTCAGGCAGAAACAGACAAGCGCAATAAACTAGGCTTCTCGGGAACAAGCCAATAAAGCATCTCAGGGCGAACGGGTTAAAACACATTCAATTATTACATTTACTGATGCAGCACCAACAGTAACAAAATAAATAATTATTACAGCATCAACAATGCACAAGCTACATACCATGTTTAGTTTTTGTGATATCAAGGTACTGGCACAGCCGTGGGTGTGATAAGGTCGACACATACTGGAAACGTCCAAGGATTTTCACTGAATTTGGAGTCAACGGCAGGCCATTTGGTCCACATTTATCATTCGGATGTGTTGCTGCATAGAATGTCCTGACACCAAAATCTGCAGTTCCTAAGAGTGGCATTTCTAACTGCAGTCTTGATAGATTGGGTTGCTTGCTGTCCAGAAAATAATTTCTTTTAGTGGTTTTGTTGTTGTGTATGTTGGATTTTTCTGTCGGGGACAAAAACGAAACCCTAACCTGCGGAGTTTGTGGTGACTGCACTAGCCATGTGGCACTAAATCCTTAGATTCAAGAATCCCTATTCCCCGTGTGGGTTCCGGGGCCCCATTGTGGGGAAAATAAGAATGAACCCACTGCCTCCCCAAAAGCATGTCGTAAGAGTCGACTAATTGGGAGCTTCCTTTGAAGTCGGAGTGCATCTATCTGAGAGGCAAGGAATCAACAGTCTGCATTCAAGTGAATCAGATCTGTAAAACTGATGCACACGCAACACTCAGGTTCTGGAGCAGGACTGCAGTCCAGAAGTGGACGAACAACCAGAACTTTTAGCCAGAGTGTACAGCTGGTGAACGCGAAGAAGAAGAAGAATCCCTGTGCAGTGTTGACACTTTGGATGTTTTACATCCAGATTTAGATGTTTCCCCTTGCATTTAGATGGCATTTTTGACGTTTAGATGGTAGATGTCTTTCTAGATGTTTTTCACTTGGAGTAAATTTATCAAATCTAACCTAAGAAAAAGGATGAAATTTAACCTCCTAAATGCTATCTTGACAATACAATTTGGCCTGATAAGAGTAGCAAAATGCTGTTCCACTTACCAGCTTCCTGATTGGGTATTAAAAGAAATTGCAACAGCTAAACCATACCAGAGTCATTTTGGATATGAAGATTCACCTTCATCATCCAAGCTAAGTTTATTCTGAGGATCTTGTAAGGCAGACTTCAGTAAAGATGAGGACATGATTCTATAGGGTAAGTCATATCAATTGCTATGTAATTTGTGATTCTTTCCATTTGGATGTATTTTCTAGATGTTTTCCACGCAAATGTAGATGTTTTTAGATATTTTTTTACTCCATTTTGGATGTTTTTTGTCAAAGAAAAGTGGCAACACTGTCCCTGTGTCCTACAACAGCCTAAAAAGTGATATATACAGGCAATTATGTCAGTCAGTTTATTGACAAAGATGATTGAAACACTTGATTATGTTTCTAGCCTACTTAGCTTACTAGTCATATTTTATGTTCACTTATGAACCCAAATGTGGAACCCAAACAACAGAAGATGTAAGATGATTTTCAAAAATTTAACACAGTAGATAACAGAGATGCTGAAACTTGGGTGGAGCTGTGAAAAAATTAATAAAGAAAGTATAATATAAAGTGTAATTAGTATGATGATTATGGTAAGACGCTCTTCAATAATTTAACACAGTATATCACAGGATGCTGAAACTTGTGTAAAGCCATGAAAACATGAATAAAGAAAGAAAAACAAAAGTTTAATTAGTAATGCTTTTGAGAGCATGAATCTTCCCTGTCGCAACATATGGTTGTGAGTCATGGGTACTCTCGCAGTCATCAAGGAAGACAAAAAGGGGGTTTTTGACCTGAGATAGAAAGATTCTCAGAATACCACAGACCACAGAAGAAAAGAAATTCTGACTTCCTAAAAGATCTGAACATCAAGGAAGATTGACTGGTAAACAGCATCTTGTCTTGGAAACTGAAATATTTTGGCCATATCAAGTGTCACAGCGGACTGGAAGAATATAGTTTACAATTAATTACTACTACTATTAACTACTACTACTGTTAACTACTCATCATCATCATCAGGTGCCTTGCCGACTGGTGTGGGCGATCATGCCTCTCCATAATCTGTGATCTCCTGCAACATGTAGCAGTTTGTGTGCTGACACACCTCCATGCCATGCAACAAAACTGTCAAGCATCTTCTCTCATTGTCTTCCTCTATCTCTCCCTCCACATATCTTTCCAGTGGTCACAACATGTTCTATTTTCCCTCTTCTCATAACATGACCGAAAAAATGATGACTGTCTCCTTCTGATGTCTGTGATAAGTTGTAACTACTGCTACTATTAAAATTAATTACTACTACTACCATTAATTACTACTACTATTAACTACTACTACTACAATACCGGCACTTTTTATGAGGCAATATTTTTTTCAGCACTACTGTAGCAACATAAACTTTGTTGTGAGTATGGGCACCTATTTTTTAGACGCTTTGTGGTAAGTACCCCGACTACTACTACCACTAACTACTATTATTATGAACAATTACTACTAATACAACCGCTACTAATAACCTTAAAGTCTCATATCTCTAGTCTAGTTAAAGCAGTTATTGCTGCTGGTACCAGCTTTTTACTTGACTGGCTGCTGATGATGGGGACGGGGTATTTTGGGAATCTCCGCAGTGCTGTCGGTTCTTAATTCAACTCAACTCAGCTCTAATTTGCTGACTGAGCATAAGACATCGGAGACCCTTTTACTTTTTCATCTCGGACGTCGAGCGGTCGTTTTGCTTCTGGTCGACACTGGGGTCACGACGAGTGGAGACGCCCACATTCAGTACACAGAATTTATAAATATTAAATATTATTTAATCAGTGTTAGTAGTGGTTTGTCATTTTGTGCGTGTTATTTACTCCAATTGAATTATAAATTTAAAAACAATAATATATGATCTGCAAATCTCAATAAAACAAAGTATCTTCCTAATAAGTGAAATGAAATAAAAAAA